AGGTGCTAATGCAAAAGCACGCGTAAGTTTAGTAGTCAAAGTTCATTCAGTTATTATGAAAATTCACATTTTCAGCTAACTGTACCCACAGCAGCTGTATCGCATACTGCTGTGGATTCAATGAACCGTCATCACCTGTTAAGATATTTTCCCAGTTTTGTTGCTGACTTGTTTAATTATAAGTTAAAACATTGAGGATTGCGCGAGAGTATCTTAAGCGTTATTTTCGAAGTGTGATCTCCAGAAGTCCTCCCTTCATTCCCATTCACACCCAAACAAAATTTGAAAATTAAACTAGTAAGCAAAAATTGGAAAACTCATCGTCAAGTAGATTCAAGGGTTATTAATTCTCATCTCCCGAAATCTTCAATTAGGTATGGACACGAAGTTCACCTGGTATTGTTGGTTGCTCATGTATTGAAGTTTTTTCCAGTCAGGCATCTTATGAAATAACAGCGGAGACAATGGACTTACTTATCAAAGTGAATAAAAAGCTAGGATTATTAGAATTTTCAACACTTTTGAATTTTCGGAAAGCGTTGTCATGACTACAGTTGTTATAAACAATAATTTATTTATTCCGTGTCTTTTTGCATGTAATTTGTTCCAAATATTTAAATAAATCACTGCAATATGCAACATTTTATACATTTTTTGTTGGCATTATTATAAATATGTACGTTACTTTGTAAACAAGTTGGTTTATTGCATCATGTATGCGCTGTAATATTAGTGGCAAATAGCATTACTTCGTCGACTTCAAGACACGGATCTTTCTTCTTTAATGAAAAACGGAATTCTAAGCAAGAATTGCTGCTGGAGTTATCACATTTCGATATGAATTTGATACATGGCATTATTTATTGCATTATTGCATTGAATAATGATGCACTTTGTACATTTTTTATGTTGGTGATTATTGGTTTTCTGTTCTATGTGCACACGAGATCCCGCATACCCATTTGAGTGTTGTCTTCTTGACATAGCAGGGAGTTGATATTTTCGATTATAGATCACATCCTAAACACTTTTTCATGATGACTTTATGTGACTTTGTCAACGAGCGAAGCTTCAAAATGTGGGACTTCTAAAAAACAAATCTTTGGCTCTGCTACTTGACGGTCTAGGTTCCAAGTGTAGGGATTTCGCATTGTGTGCTAAGCTTACACATGCATTTTTCTTTTTCCACTGCATTCCTAAACTATTTTCAAAAACTGTTGTCAAATTGGTGAAATACCGATGTTTGTGGCTGCGTCTAACCACACTCAGGGTTCCCATATATATATATATATATATATATATATATATATATATATATATATATATATATGCTTATTTTCTTTCATATCCCGTGCATATAAAGATCTTATGTTTCACTTGTGCTATAATCTATCCAAAGCATATGATTGTGTGTTTACCCTAAAAATATGCTGTCAGTTTAGGTTGTTTACTAAGTTACATTTATTTCCTATTCACTGCAGCCTTATGCATGCTTTTCCTTTTACGGCCTTCCTGAGTAGAAAGCGAAGCAAAAAGGAAATCTAGTAATTGGGCAACACTCTAAAATACTGTACTTAATATCAACAGTGTGAGCATAAGAAACTGATAGTTTTTAATCTGTCGCGTCTAGTTCTTGGGACTTTGTTCTTATGGTTTTATTTTCTCCTGCAGTGAGTATAGATATCTCTTCAGCTTTCCTACTTTTAGTGCTGATAAGATTAATAACTTTGTGGGTTGGTTATTGTAGTTTGTAAATCAAGAGGATTAGAGGGATACGGATTCCTGGGAAGACTAGGGGTCTCTCGTAACTCCTATCAGTATAGGTGCCTGGATGGGAATCGCAAGATGGTGGGAAGAGGTACATGGGACATACAGGAAAGGTAAAAGTAGATAGTATGGGTCTAATTACTGAAGATTAGTTAGCAGATAATCCAGGCATATCAACAAGAGAAATGGTGAGCGGCATATAGGAAAGAAGTAGTGGTGAGCGGGTGACGTCAGTAGTGCCATGACTACGTCTGTGGTAAGCTATACGACATAGCATAACTGTCTAACCGTTTTTTGAATAAGTCTGCCTGGAGGGCCGCGATTACATCCCGTGGATAGACAGTCTATAAAGCGTTTTATCCTAGGAAAAACCTTGACCCCAACCTGGTGTTAGCCCTCTGATGTGCTATCCTGATAGGGTTCCCTCATCATGACCTCCTTGTTACGGTAAGGTTAGTTTGTTTGCGTTACTTACCTGTTGGATGGTCATGTAGGCCATAATTTCACCCTTCTTTCTGTCATAGCCCAAAGTGACTAGATTCAGCTGTTTCAGCCTTTCATAGTATGCCGTCTCCCTGAGTCCCAAAACTGATTTTATTGCAGATCCTTGTATTTTCTCAAGGAGATTAGAGTCTCTATTGAGTGTTGAGGTTGCTACCTTACTGAAGACTGCCACGTGTGGCTGCACTTAGGATCTAAAAACTGAAAAATAGTTCAGTTGTGAAAGCATCAAGTTGCCTGCATGGAAAGTGAAATTTGGTTTCCAATTAGCCTGCCATTCCCTTGGAGTTAGAGCTGGTGTTCAGGGTGTCCAAGGAGTTGAGCCTAAGTCTTTTTTCCTGGATACTTTCGTGACATTATGGTTACTCAGCTTGTACTGGAATTTGGCCGTCCTTGCTTCGTGGGTACTGATGTGTATTACTTTACACTTTTCCAGGTTGAATCTTAGGCCATTTTCTGACGATTGGAGTTCTAGTAGCTGCAGGTCGTTTAGGAATGCTGTACAGTTGACCTCTCCTTTTAATACCCTCCAAATTCGTAGTATGAAATGCATTTATATCTGCAAAATCAATTTACCAACTATGTTTACAAGGTTTTGTGACACCATAAGTAGGTTTGCATACCTTCCTGATAAACAAGATGTTACTTCGGTTTTAGATTTTGATTCTCACCTTAAATAGATTCGTAGATAAGCCACATTTATCTGATTTTCAGTCTCAATACACGTACTTTGGTATGAATAACTGGGTGACATCACAATCACACAATAAGTCTGAGTCATAGCATAGTACATAACAATGTACTGTGCTGAGCTGCAATAGTAATACCTCAGTCTATTAAATAAGACAGAGCTGTTGCTCGAGGTTATGCATATATATATATATATATATATATATATATATATATATATATATATATATTGCATGGCAGTCTGAGCATTTTTTTGATAATTACAATTGAATTATGAATCCAATGGAAATTTCGCCGTTCAAATGAATCATAGTGCTTTGCAATATGTTTGGTGTCCTATAGAACACTGATACTGCATTTGTTGAAAACTGTCTCAATCTCACCTGAAGTATGTAACCTGCATACGATGACTTTTGTTGTGGTCCGTGATTTAGGAATACTTTTGGTATCTACTGTAAAGCTTCTTTCGATTTCTTTCAATAATTATTCATTTCAAGGATCTTGTTCACATACTTTGATTCCTTAACTCCTTCATTTCCACCCGTTATTAGGATGTTTGGCTGGTTAAAAGACTAGAGACGACACAAATCTTCACTCCAATGGGATGAATTGAAATTTGAATATTTGTTCAAATCTGTTGCTTTTCTGTAAGTGCTCATATCTAAATGTCCGTTCTCTTCCCACCTAACAAAATGACCCGTTTATTTTCCCAAGCTGAACTCAGTACTAGGGAATCTAGTGTTCAATTAATCTTACAATAAGCGGTTGATGTCGCGTTTTGAAACCACAAGTGTGTCATCAACCTGGCCAAAGTTTGGTCTTTAGTAAGTGTGCGGAGACAACTCCAAGTTCACTCATATGTAGGCTTACTACTGTAGGTAAAACAGATGAACCGTTAGATCCATCGTTAGTTCGTCAGTATAACCTTCCCTTGAGTGAGAATTAATCAGCCTCCAAGCACAAGTTTAAGACTGATAATTTCACTAGTATTCAGCAAACACATTTTTGTCAGAGCTGTGTCTGAGACTAATAAATTAAAAATAATATTTAGGCTTTCACCAATAGGTGTGCTGGTCTATAATGAATTGATTTCAGAACTTATCTTAATTCAATCTTCCTTAGTTTCAATTGATAAAATTTTGGATTTAAGGTGAATCGACTCCCGTACTTTGCTTCCAGTATATTGGGAGGAATTTTAGTATTAAATCTAAATATTTAGAGAGGTTGTACGCTAGTGTGTTGACAAAGTCCAGGATTGGTCGCAGTAGGACAAAACGTTTGTGAATCTAAGGTAGATCTCACAACCTTAAATATATGTAAGACTTAGGTCCGGGTTTGAACTGAATGGAGCTACCGATTTCGGGTTCGAGTCCCCTCAGATTTCTCCCGTTGATGGTGATTGGTGCTTGTTGTTGTTGTTATTGTTAGGGGTGGTGGTGGTGGTTGGGTGTGTTCATCACCTCTGTCTTCTCTACGTTCACCCAAAGGAAGTCCAGTTTCCTCTGACCTGTCTCTTCTGCTAACATATTAGTTTTCGCCTTTAGATCTTTGAGTTTGTGCGACATTAGACAGAAATCATCATCGGCGACGAAACCCAAATCTTCTTCAGGTGTCTTTACATCGGTTCAGCCAGCGATACCGATCTTCTCGCTCCCCACAGTTTCTTGCGTCATCCAGTTCAGTCGAGTCGACCACGATCAGGAAGATCATCAGTGATAGTAGGCGGTAACCTTGTCTTACCCCTGTCTTCACTTCAAAGGCGTCACTGAGCTTTCCATTGTGAATCACTTGGCATATAGCATCATATAGCATATAGTTGTTGAACGCGGTTGATGATGGCTTGTAGCAATGAAACCGTAGTTTTTAAGCAGCTGGACTTTCAGTGTCTTATCTCTTGACCAATTTATTTTGATTTACTTACAAGATCTTCATGAATTACCTTGCCTTATTGCTAGATATCGTACTCTGCTTTTTGCTTTTCTTCGGTTCTTGTCAGGGAAGTATCTAGAGGCTCACCTTTTTAAAGCACTGAACTACTGTTTACTAGCTCATCTTTTTATTGAAATGAACAACGTTTGATGTTTTTACAGGTTGATATTTTGATATTGCATATTTTCGAGCTTAAATAGCAACTGATAGCTGTTATGCACGTATCGTAAATCCCGAGACTATCTACTGCAGATTTGCTGATCATAATTAAGGTATAAAGAAAAAAATCATGCATATACTCGCTTCTGATTTATTCGTTGCCAATTTTTTTTACAGATGGCTTCTCCAGGTTTAAAAAGACGTATATTTAGCTCGGATACATTAAATCCTACAGTTACTGTAAATCACAACCCTGTTCGGGCATTTTATGAATTACCTAAAGGTAAACCAATAGCAGCTCAGATTGTAAAAGAATCAAGAAATTGGCTACGTTCAGTTTCAACATGTAGACCATTTACACCGAAAGATAAAACACGGACATTATTCAATACGACATCACAAACGAGAACTGGATACAGACCATCTAGTTCTTTCAAAGTAACTGCAAAATGTTTCGATCCTTACGAAACAACATTTAAACCCGGTGTCCAGTTGGAACCAATTGATACTAAGGTAAGTTGTTTCATTTATGTTAATCTCCAAAAAAGTTTGCAAAGCGTTCCAGGTTAGTGGATAGAGAATTTCTCGTAAATCTGAACTGTTCAGAATTCGAACCAGTCGGACAACCATTCTGTTTTCGGAGACACTACAACAATACTCATACTGAGACCAAAAACACCACTAGTAAGAAGCTGTAAGAGTTCACTGGCATCCATCCTCAAACATGTGAAAACGACTACTTAATGCGGTTTTATTTTCAGTAGTGGTTCACCGGAAACAAAGGATATTATGTCTCTAAAAGCTCATATATGGGAAATTTTGGCTTAGGGTACACATCTTTGTAAATCGGACAAGGAATAGCATATTTTCAAATATGCATTCAGTTAACAGATCAAGTAAAAAGTATATTCACTGAAAATCACATCATAAATTATTCCTTATTCTTTGCATGAGTATTTTAATACCCCGAAATCTAATTCAACGACTACTGGTACTTTCAAGTTCTTGTGACCAGTTTTGTACCTAACTTTTCCATTCATCTCTTGTAACCTTTTTCCTTTCATGGATGAGCGCATAATTCTAGATATAGCATTTAGTTAATTTAAAGATATCGTGAAATGCTTTCTTTTAGATCGTCTAGTTAAATTTGAGTCAGATAAAAGCGTCGGATCTAAACACTGCTGTCCAATAAAGTTACTTTATCCCCCTGTGAAACTACAGTGATGATGGTGTCAGTTACAATACCAAAGTATCTTCCAACCGAAATTTCAGCTTATGGGTTTTTGTTAGATATTCTTTGAAACTGATTTTAAATTAATAATATAATTTTTCGATAAAACACCTAATCAAAAACACAAATGAAATTTAGGTAGCAGAGACAGACGACGTCCTTATTCAAATCAAACGTATGAGTTACCATCCTGTATAGTGCATACTTCTCATGACGTATTTAAAGATATAGTAATGAAGTCACTAAATGATTTGTATGAAAAACTATTTTATTCTATTTGTTTACTTTTATATGATGTCAAAACATCTGTTGAATAAAAACTATGTGTATTAGGTTAAAATTCCAAAGGAACACTGACAGCGGTTTGTTCAGTTTATTAATTGCTTATCAATAGCAAAAACGTTAACAGAATCCTTGTGTGTAACAATTGCCCTGTTCACTGTCAGCAGCAGCGTATCAGTTAGCTGGCTTTTGAAACCACAAACTACCTATACAACTCTACTTGACATATTTACGTAGGTTTAAAAAAACTTGATTTTCCACATGCTAGTTTGTAAACTTTACTTGATATGATGTACAATAAAGCATCATTGTTACTGGATAGAATTTGAGTCATGGCTGAAGGTGTATGGTCATCTGAGAGTAAGTGCACAAATTCGTTGTATGGACTATATGTTTTAGCAAACACCTAATTCACTGGGTGAAACTATTCTCGTGTCTTATGATTTTAAGGCCTTTTAGTGTAAAAGATTACAGTTTCATTTCAAAAACATCCAAGTTTTTCATTCCATATTTGATAAGTCAACTATAGTATACGTATTGTTCAAAGAAACAAGAATAGAGTAGTCTGCATTTTCCTCCAAGCGAATTAATCGGTTTATTCTCTTCCTATTGTGTACTCCTGTTAAACTACCTTCAAGAAAATGACTAAAATATATCCAGATCCTTTAGATTTTACTGGAATAAACAATTCTAAACAAACATAATGTACACAACAAAAGGATTTCAAGATCTGTGTAAAATTTGACAAAGAAGTCACTGCTTTTAAGAAGTGGTAGTGAGAATCATCATTTTAAGCAAAGGAACCGTAAATTCTTTTGGTTACCTTCACATGGCTAAGAAAAATAAGTGGTGTTAAAAGTGTTACTTGGGAGCTGATACCCTTTGATTGTATTTCACATCCGAAGAAAACGCATATATGAGATTATGCACTCTTGTAATATCAAAGTTCCTCTTATATACACTTGTACGTCAATAACTTGTTCCACGTTTGTAATATTTTATCCATTACATTTGAATCTATGGTTTGGATAAAAAAGAATGATTTTTACTTTTAGAGCAAAAATGTCCGGAAACAACTCAAACCTGGTAAACCTGTGGCAAATACTTCAGTGCAGAGAAGTTCTCAAAAGTCAGACGACCGAATAAATGATTCCTATGCAGGTGAATATTTCTTTGTATTCTAATTTTTGTCTTAGTAATACGATTCCTAAGCATGAATGATTACAGATTGTTCCTCTCTAAATGCTATAAAGGGAGTTAATGATGCAAAAATAATGATCCCAAGAATTTAGTTGTATATTCTTTGGCGCTCAAATTACTTGTTAGAATATTCACAGTTGTTTTTAAGCTTCAGTTAGGACACGCAAAAGTGCTTTGGCTCAACTATGAAAAATTGTCAACCTCAACAGCGTAGAATGCTACCACTTAAATGGGTTTGGCTTGAGTATGAATCCAACCTCGAACCACTGGTCTGGTGACAAATTCAACTTAACTAGCAAAATCCTAAGATTAATGTCACAGGTTGTGTTGTAGTAATGTATTTGAGGTGGATACAAGCTGTGAAATAGTAATAATGTCTAGTGTTTCATGAATGCTACTCGACAAGTCAAATAATTTTTACCAGTTGCTAGTAATTTTTATGTCTTTCAAAATACCACAAACTAATGAGTTACCTCTTCACTCATTGAAATCGAACATATTTTTAAACCGAAAAATTAGTATTCATTTCTTTACTGTGAAACTGAGTTTATTATCAAGAAATCAACCAACTTAATTCGGTGGCGCTTCAGTGGTACACCGAATCACACTTATTCTCTGTTAAATATTAGTAGTCGACGGGTTCCTTTCACTAGACTCATTATGCGTTGCATAAATATTAATTCACTTAGAAGTATGAGGTATTTCGAGTTTTCGAACACTGTTTAGTTCAGAATTTAGAGATTACAGCAACCACCACAAATGTGGCATTCTCTCTAAAGGTAAGGGCATAGTGTCCATTAGCTCTGAAAACAAGACAGGATAAACTTTAACGAAAGTGCGAAAATTCATCCCTGAATAATATACAGAATGACTGTAAAATAATAACTCCCCAATATGATAAAAATGATTAGATAGTAATCATGGAGAAATAGTATCATTTCATAAAATTTGACAAACATATCCAAACAGAACGATATGAATAGACCGAGAAACATATAAACACTGTCATGAATAAGTTTAAGAAGGCTAAAGTCAATCTAATACACCGACTAAAGCCATCGAAATGGATCTAAATGGTTTAATTTAGCAGTAATGATGAACAGTGATTAGCAGTGGAATCTAGGACATGTTTTACACTCTTTTGAGAACTCGTCAGTCAGTTGGTTTAATTTGACGCCTAAAACTAAAATTCGTAGGAGAATTTACGATACTAATAAGGTTCATAAATCAAGTTATTCCATTAGACTTCAGAAATACTCTAACATTTTCAAGCTCAGTCTTAAGCCTTTTGCTTCTTCAACCTATTGTAAGAATAAAATTTAACCGCTTACTGATAATGACTTTGTGATTTAATGAAACCGAATTATTACAAGAATGGCAGGGAATTTTTATCGCTCACTGTTTTTCTATTCAGGCAGAAGTGTTTCTTTGGCTACTATATTTTGAAGTGAAACTTTCGAAAGCTTCTAAGTATCATTCTCCCCCTCAATGTGAAAATGATGTCTAAAATATCTTTGGGATTTAAGCTACAGGGTAGGTGGGCTTCTAGATCACTCCGATACTAAGAAAAAATGGGGCCAAAAATTCCAGACCAGAATGAATGCTAAAAAGTAAGGTGATACAAACAAATTTGCTTCTCACAGCTCTTCAGTTTGTTTGCAAAACTTAAGAAAATTTCTCTTCTCGTATCAAGAATTGAATCCAGAGTTTTTGTAGTGTTTTATTTTCTCCATTCACGAAAAATGACTTTTTTTTATTTGAGTACATTTTATGATTAAATCATATGTTGTAGTGATAAAGATGAATATTGTTGATTTCAGCATCATCATCATCTCAATCACTTGGGTCTACGGAGGAATATATTTCAAATGTTAGTCATAAGAGTTCACCCCATCTGGAACTAATTGGCAGACAAACACGTTTAATCTCTCCGATCAATATGAAGCGCTCTGCATACTTAAATGTCAAAGCAGAAAGATGCATCACTCCAAGAATTTCTAATACTAGTCTGATTGAGTGAGACATTTCTATTTTCAGATATTTGATGAGTTACACTTTTAACCTCACATTTTAAATAATCAGTACTTAGAAAGCTTAAATTTTGTCATGAATAGTTTTTCATAATGACAAACAACTCTAAATTACTATAAAAGTTCACTGTGGGTTGTGACAGTAATGGGGTCAGTTCATCTTAGAGTGGGAGATCCACATTGATGAGAAGTACCAAAAAATAAAATGTGACAGCTGTCTAGTTCTCCCTGGTTTCTAGTGGTTCTCTAAGAGAAATCAATTCGTGGTGAAAACTACTTTCAAATCAGTAAACTTTTACGAATCAATAATCCAAAAGACTATACCCCCTTTGTAGAATGAATAAAATGTCCATTCTGCTAAGTTCATCTAAATAAATAATTCTTGTATTCATCATTTTAGTACGTAATATATATATTACTTGTTTACAGAAAAACAAGCTGAAACAATAAATACTCATTAAGGATAGTTGGTTATCCTCCTTTTTAACATTTTGATTATTTTGAAGCGTAATCAATCTTAATTATTCAACAGAACACAAGTATAACTCAAATGGTTTCCCTCAATGACTAAAATTTTCACCTGAGTGAGTGGTTTGTGAAGTATTCAAATCAGTTGCAGGATTATTTCGATAAGAAGGAATATGAAAACTGTCCACATTGTTTAGACTTCACTGGATATGAAAACTCATGCACGGTGGGATAACAATTAACTCATAAGTGTGAAAATGGTAGTTCTCAGTCACTCTCTCTGTCTACTTTACAGTGGTTTTCCGAAAGACATTCATTCTCCGTCATGATTAACTTTTGAACAGGAATGTCACTGAGAAGAAAGAATGCATAATAATCATTGTATTTAACAGTTCAAAACTATTGACAGCGTAATTATTACTGCTTACCTTTTTGTAGCCTCAGCACTAAAAGTTCCGTTCAAATGTTCTCCACTTTTATTTCATGACATCAGTACCACTTTATACATTTCAGCTTACACCTGAGGAATTTGTTTTCTTCCCTTTTCTGTCGAAATAGAAGTTTTTCGAAAATCCTGAAATCAGTGGATTCAATATATGAAACAAATAATCGACTGATTTAGTCTTAGGATTTCGTTGACATTTACAGTCACTGAAAAGTCATTTTCATCTTCTTGCTTTGATATTTAGACAATTTTTCTTTTACCTGCATATATGCTGATTATAACGATAACCGATGTTCCTTTATGTAGATTAAAGCAAGGATGCCTGTTTTAATCTCCAAGTGCTTTTAAAATTAGTATACTTAAATGTAGATGGTTATTCCTACCTGTGATGTTAAGAATAACACCATTTCGTCCAGTAAGAATGCATTCTTATAGACTAATGGTTAAAACTGTAATAATTCTCATCAAATTTATAATAATTGGGTTTAAGGAGGTCCTGTCGTCTGATGTAGTAAAAATCCAGTCACCAATACGCTCTTACTGGAAATTCAACTTTTCTACAACTTGTTTTGCAAAACTCCACTTTCGTTTTTTTAACACAAATTTAGTGACACAAACAGTACAACCAAAATTAACAACTATAAATCTAACAGGGACAAGAGTCAGTAAACATCCTTAAAATCCCAAATACTATACTTTGATCAGCTAAAAACTTTCTAAACCTCAATAAACCTGTAATACAAATGGATGTGGTGTTCATTGTCACCAGGTTATAACCTTTTTAGAACCAGTAACTACCCAGTAAAGCCAATACAATTGATTAGATCTCAGAATAGCAGCCTTCAACCTCTTTGTTGTCAACTGCTGCAGATTTATTCCACTTTGATAAACCAAACGTTTTGGATGAAAAGCTTATCTGCAAAGACTTTTTCATTCAAGACAATTTGTTTTAACCTTTTGTTTCTAGAGCATTGAGAACATCAAATGTTAAAAAACGTTTACTAAACACTCAAGAGGAAACAACAAAGTCTAATGCTATCACTTCAAAAGTTACTTCCATTCTACCAGATAGAAATCTATACATTGATAAAAAAGTGATGGGAACATCAAAAAATATTTATTATCGCAGTCCTTCTCAATTGTCTACATTATCTTCACTAGATGATAATCAATCTCCTCGGCCAAACAGTCCAACTGATCTATTTCTATCCCCAATCAGAACAACTTTGATCCTCGAAGAAGATAAATATCACTTGAGACCTAATGGTGTAAGGTCAGCCGTTACAGGTACAAGTGCAAATACAGAATTTGCCAAAACAATTACCGATAAAAATAAAGTTAGTTGGGTTTTTTAATTACTGTTTTTTTGTGTCACGCTTGATGTTTTCATTTAAAACGATTATGTTAAAGTATTCTAAGGACTTAAATCAGCCTTACTTCATAAAGATGACTGTCAAAGTAAAAATAACTTCTTTATAATTATCGTTGAATTAGTTTTCTTCGTACCTCTATGCTTATATTGTACCAGTGTAATTATAACACTTAAATGTCAATCAGGCATCTATTTCACTTAGATGATGTTGTGACTAGTTTATATTTGTGCTTATTTAGTCATATTCATTCCCCGGTGAATATTTCCCTTCCAGAACAAAATCTGCTGAAAATGAATTACTTTCCTAGATGAATTAGCATAGAAATATAATAAATGTGATGTAATTTAACCCGGCGCATGTTTGTTTGATAAACTATGAGCCACACTTGTTACATGAGGGCTTATAACACTAAGTGATTGGTGAGGCCGATATGGGTCGAGCAAGATTAACCAGGAATTCATCGCTTCAACGTCAAATTCTTGAGCCAGTGAGCATAAGACGTAATTGTGGTCTGCTGCTTTGAAACTGGATACAACTTAGGTTTCATGTGAACTGCATCAATAAGCTTACAGGGATATCAGAGCTGTTCGCATGATATCGTCGTTAATACTTCAAGAATATTTCAAAAATTGTCCAGTTTTCTACGCCACTTTAAAGCATATTTATGTTGGAAGTTCGTCAGTTCGTAGGCATACCTGCAGTAATCAATATGCTATGATTATCCGAGCTAAGAACTTAATGGTTTGCAATGTACTGAAACAGCTTCAACGGTAATATGATGCTCAGGCCTATGAACTAATGCTAACTTTTTCCAACTAAAAATATGCTAAAACAGTGTTGATTTACTCAATTCAGAGATTTTCATAGAGTTAATACACCTTACGAAAAGTATTATATCAAAAGCATATACAATAAATGTATACGTGACTCTCTACAAGGCTGGTACGGAAATCCTTGCTAAAAAGTTAGACGAAAAATATTTTGTCTGAGAAAGAAGGAATTTGCCAAGACTGTTAAAAAGGTTGACGGCTTATAGAGGGTTTTTAAGAAGATCTAAGAAAGAGAAAATAATGCTTAAAAAAGAGTGAAGTCTACTAATAAAGAAGTGATATAAAAGAAAGGAAAAGTTGGTAACATTTTAACTCCCCTATTATCTTAATTATTTGTCCTGCCACTCTTCGGTTGAATATAAATTGACTTGACAAGGAAATGTATGATCAGACTGTTCAAAATGTATTGCGCAAATGGATCACACTGTTCAGATAAACTTCCTCTTCTAATTACTCTATCTAAATTATAAGTATTAACAGTTTTCCAACAATTCAGGGCAATTATATTGATCAGTTGCATTCATTAAATGAATATCGTAACCAAATACTCTGAGATTTTTATAGAAAAACACGTTGCCCGACTAAGTGAACTTTTGAAGAACAAAGAAATATTGTAGAACATTTCAGACAACGGAGCCCGTTATTATGAATCTCAACGACTACTTTGATAAACCGTCATCCATGCTGGCAAATGAAACAGATTTTAGAAAGAGGCTATTCAAAAAGATGCTACTGAGTAAATGGAACGAAAGTTGACAAAAGTCCCTAGGAAGGTGAAAGACGAATGGATTATCATTACCAAATTATGTGAAAACCTAAACCCCCATGATTTAGTCATCCTCTACTATATGATCTGTTTGGAGTTCACGGGAAAGATCTTCCTTTTTGTCATTTGGTCTGTATGAATAATCCAACATAACATAGGATTGCACAATGGCTAACTATTTTTCAACCAGTTGAAAATCAAGTCAATAGTTAAAACTTTTCTTTATTCATTCGGCCTCATTAGTTTCATAAGCGATCTCAAAGCATGTAGAAAACATGTTATCGTTTTCTACTAGGTCACCTCTTCATAAGTATGCATTTGATAGATACTATTTACTTTTCATATAATTATATTGATATCATCAACCCTTAAATTAGAATTTCAAAATATTTTCTAAAAAATTTCTCCTACGAATCACCCTTATTATGTGATTTAAATTTAAGAGTGAAATTTACAAAGAAAAGTGGAAGTAACAGTGAGTTCATCTCTGAGTTCCTTCGTACCTGATTGCTTCATGTCTACTCTGGGGAACACTAAACTATGTCTGCTAATCAGACGTGAAAGCACTTAGATAGCACTTCTGGAACCCTGGACAAATAAATGGATAACGGCGATCATCTGACTCAAATGTTCAAAAAATCATCTATTTCTAGCTAGTGCAAACTTCAAACATAAAGAGAGACATTGTCCAGCATGGTGCCCACCGACCTTAACTCCATACTGTTATCAGTTATCACTGGAATGGATTAGTGAGAGATTGCCGCCCCCTCTTTAGAACGCACTTGAACAGCGATCGAGCGTTGATCTGAACACCTTGTCTTTCCTTAAATGAAAATATTAAAACTACATAATCATGACCATTGTGAAACCAGCTTGACAATGAGAATACTAAGGTTGTTTTCAGTGACACACTGTCTAGACAGTGTGCAGAATAGAATGATAACACCTGACCTGAAGTAGCTTGGTGCTATCTCCAGTCTACTGTTGAAGCAACACCAAAGACCATAACTGACTGTCAGATCAATGGATCTCAGCAGCTTCATCCTCAGTGATGGATGCTCATGAGCTTATTCCTGTATGCTCTGAACCCAATAGGGTGCAGAAGCAACTCAGTTGTAGATTGACAAGTAGTCTACACAGTGACGGGCAGCAATGATTGAAGGCAAAGGCTAAAGAGATGGAAAAGCAGCGGCGATTGGTAATAACAGAAAGTTACTTACACTGATCAAAGAATCTCAAGCAAAAAGATCAATGGTTGCCGAGGCTGTCGAGAAGAAACAGAGGTCTGTTATTCACTCACGGGGAAGGCCACCGGAAGAATAGACCCAACACTTCACTTAATCTCCGGCCAAGAGTTCATTGCCAGCCACCCAGGAGGATACTGAATAGAGCATTGAGATAAGACCTCCTTTACTTGTGGAAAAGGGCGAAAGCTGAAAGTAATCTGAAACGGGGAGGGGAAGTAGTGCCAAATGAGTTTGTACTGAAGGTACTTAAGAACGTTGGTGGAAGATTATTTGTCAGATTAACTGATAGGTTAGCTAGTGTATGAGGTTCACATATGATCTCTTCTGACTGTTCGAAGTCACTGGTTGTCCTAGTCTTCAAGAAGTCCTCTTGTGGTAACCAAAGAGGAATCAGCCTGACGAACATAGTGTCTTAGATTATTGGTTCTATAATTATCAGAGGCCCATATGGAGCTAGAGAAGTTTAATGGGGTCCTCTCACTGATAGGAATTCAAGGTTGGTATCTCACCTCTGTTGAAGGCTCTGTAATTGAACACCCATAGGCGTATTAGAGCCTTTGGTAAGGGGGCAGGTGAGCTGTTTACGTCAAATGGTGTCCGTCAAATATTCGCATTCAATTTTGTCGTTGACATACTCATGAGAGTTTTCCTTTCCTCGTCTGGCTTCAAAGGGATTGGCCTCATCACAGGAGAACTCCTACCAGATCTAGTATACACATTTAATAGTTCTGTTAGGTGAAGCTGGTGGTACCGTACCCAATCTTTTGAACACATTGCGTGGCAATTTCAGAATGTTTTGGATGCGTTTCTACTGCCCAAATGTAAATGTTGTTCCACGACTAGTCTTCGCTTATGGTTTTTTTAGCAGTGAGGAGTAAAGTGGTTAAGAGTGTTGACCGTTTCAATTACCTGGGAGGTCGAATCGGCACTGGTGAGTTAGTGGCTGATGAAATCTTATCATTTATACCAAAGGCTTGGTTGACTTTTGCTAACTCTCACCATGTGTACACCACCGCGATATCCAACTGTCGATTTAGAGTCAAGAGTAGCATGCTGCAGCTGACTCTGCACTTCTGTATGTCAATGAAGCATAGATATTAAAGGTAGAGGATATAAGAAGACTTTAGGTGTTTGACCGTCTTTGACTTCGTAGTACAGTCCATGTGTCGTGCTGTCACCACTTCAGTAACGTAGATGTGAGGCGTAGAGTTTTAGTTAAGAGAGGAAAGTTAGCTGATCGGGTTGTAAACCTGTATGGACTGGGACGGTTGGGATATATTTTACGCATACCTAGTCACCGTCTGCCTCATCCATTAATGTCAGCTGAAGTAGTTTCAGACTTGAAAAGGGTAGACTGAAACATGACATCATTTTTGAGTATTGGCCTCAGTTGTGCAGAAAATGTATACTTCTTGATTGAGGTCAGAGAGACAACGAAAACCAAGAGTTAGAGACTGTAATTGGATGTAAAATCGAACTCAATGGCTCAGACTTATGTACACATTGCCTTCTTAATCTTCATGCTAAATTTAAGTTTCATTTCATTTCTCTTCCTCTTTTCATGGCTTTCTTGCACTTTTAGATGCTTTCTTCCTTAATTTTTTACCTTGATGCATTTTTGGTTAATATGCTGATGTGGTGTATAAGGTGAAACATTCATTACTCAGTAATACCAGTTCCTGTGCTGACACTGACTGAATCTATGGAGACTTTAAACCGACTAATAACTCAGTTGTTGAAAAATCTGGTTAACTCTGGTCACTTTGCTTCACTATAAGTTTTCTTCAAAATTATCTACAAAGGGAAATCAGACATTGCAAGAAAAGCATGGAATCGCTATCAGAACACTGCAGAGGCCTTGGCATTTCATCAGTCCAAGCATGATCTCCGTTTTCTATAAAAGTGCACCTAACCTCTTCTCATACTTTTGTCACGATTTTCTTATGACCTCTTTCATTTTGCTATTATTCACCAATATTATTTTCATCTACTTCAATTTACTCTTCACTTGTTGAATTCGAATTCTATACTACTATCCCACTTTTATAATTTCCTAGATTAGAGAAGAGATAATTCAGCTAAGAAAATTTTCTTTTTCGACGATATCATTTTTCTAAAGCTGTACAATCGTATTTATACATATCATAAGCATATAACAGTCCATTATAAAACAATAGGGTATAATTACATCACTAACCAAGTGCTAAGAAAAACCGAATCAAGATTGCAAAGCAGTTGCATAATAATCTAAGACAACAGAAATTTCGAGGATGGCGAGGAGTTTGACAAGGTGATAAGAAACGCAAATATTGATTGTCCACTTGAAAGATAGGTGTAAAGAAGGCGAAGAATGAGACAAGGGTCATAATGAAGGTGATAATAATAAACTAATCAATTATAATGAAATGGAAAAAAATGAAAGTGTTAAGACCATGGTAAGATGAGAGGTTGAACATATTTCTTTTGCACGTAGAGATCAGGCTTGAATTGATGAATTTCCAGTACCTCTGCTTTGTACAACTGTCGAAGGCGTACTCCTTTTGAACAATTCCATCTGACATGATAAATGACGCTGAAGGAAGATTCTGGTCTAGCTTTATGTCCAGAGTTGACCAAATGTTCAAGAATTGAACTGTTAATTGATTTACATTCTCCCCTCGACAACCATGCAGGATAGTGCTCTGAGATACGTTTGGAAAGCGTGAGCTTTGTGCGGCCTATATAACTAGATTCACAGGAGCAAGTAAATTTGTAGACACACATCGAGGTGGCCCAAAGTGGTAACTTGTCTTTAACGCACTCCAGAATGAGTTGTTGACTAGAGAAACTGATTTGCAGTTTTGCAGAGAAGAATGTCTTCTTCAGTGATCTGGACAGCCGATTCTTCAGGATCTCTGGTGCCGTATCGCGTTTGCAAACAACGTTCACAAACAAGGTCTTCTTAGGAACTGTAAGTACTTGCTCCCTATTCTGATTTACTTTCAAGTTCTTATCGATAAATCTGGATGGATATCCATTTTGCATGAGAATCTTCTAATTCTATCTAATTCTTCCTCAATATTATCACTGGTTCAGAGTCTTTTAATTCTTAAAGATAAAGAATGGATTAGATTCCTCTTTCTGTTGAGAGGCATCCAACTGTGGAAATTCAGATATTGTCCATTCCAAGTAGGCTTCCTATAAATTGATCGCTGAAGAGAACCATCTGATCTCCGTTTCAATAAAACAGCGAGAAAATGGAATTCCGAGTTCTCTTCAAATTTTGATGTGAAGCTGATCGATGGATGACAGTCATTGAACGTTTTAACTACAGCCTCAATATTTGTATTTTGATCGATTATGATGAAAGTGTCATCCATATATCTTTTATATAGGTAGAAACTATCAATTGATGAATGCAGCACACCATTCTCTAGCTTCGCCATAAAGTAGTCAGCTAGCAACGGTCCAAGTGGCGACCCCATAGAAATCCTAAATTACTACGTAATCATCGCGTAATTCTAGAATCGATTTTTGGTGGTCTTGTGTTGAACTGTTGGCGGATAATTTATATTTTTTTCTCATCATAACTTCAAATGCGAATGTACAGCTTTTGAAAATGATTTAATAAAAAGGTTTTCTTCTCTGAATTATCATTTATCAATTTAAAAAAGTACACATATATGGTCAGCATGCATACACTGGTACTAAATTTAGAACAATTTATAAACAACTGCAAATGATCCACACAGCTGCTAGTCTTGTTTTTTATCCTCATTGAATATATAGTCTTTTCGTCAATATCATGTCATTGAATTATCTGCCTCAACAAAATATTTATACAAAAAATATGTTCTCTAAAATTTCTGCCTCAATATTTATCTAGTTCTCAACCATTCTATATTTCAAAAACTACATTTCTACCAGTGAAACAGTTTTCTATTTTGATGAATCCTAAATGAAAATACGAAAAATTTCTTGTGATCAAATAAATTCTTTAAAATTACACTTTATTGTAAATTTAAACAATGTTTCCAATGGTAACTGAAATCTCAAGTCTATATTTCCTAAAAGTGGGAACAAAGGACTTTTGTTATAAATATAACCAGTTCAATGATGAGAAGTATTCTTATGCAGTAAATAAAGCGCTTATATGTTTATGATTATTTTTGGCCAGGGGAATCCTAGTTAAGAGAACATTTATCCTCAAGAAACATATTTTCAAAATGCAAACTAATAAAAATTTTCTTTTCTTATAGACAATGAATTGTTACTGTCACAAAATATATAAATGTATGTATTCACTTTGTTTGTCTGTGTTAGTCCATGTATGTATTTATGTGGGCATTCATAAATGAATAAATAAATGACTGACTGAATGGAAACTAACAAAGATTATCTTCATAAGATGTATGAAAAATACATCTACTGCATAAATTTTGCATACGTCTTCTTTGATACTGGATACACTTGTCCTTTTTTTCATTTTAACATATCTGTTATCATAAAGTATCGTAAAAGTATCTTAAGCATTCCTTTGACTTTCACACATTGTATTCACGCAAATGACATCTTTATTCCGCCTTACAGAAAAAAAATTATTACAAACTTATAGGAACAAGTATTTTATATGAAAGACATCAAGTGAACAATGATCATATCCAAAATAACATTGATAAAAAAGTTGAACAGAAGTAGAGTTTACAGTTTTGTTTAATATTTCAATAACTAAGCAAGATATTTTTGAAGAATATTGGTGAAAATACAAGAGTAGCATTTTCTTCCATCTTGTAATCCTATAAGCCTAGCATACTGTCACAATAGATTACGCTCACTTTGTTGTGCCTTTTGATGAAAACATCAAATTAGGCCCTTTTTCATAGCTTATATTGTTATGAATACTTTTATTTATCTGCTGGTCCTTTAAAATCTTTGAATGGCTTCCTGGCATATATATATATAGCACTTATGCTACGTATTATTTTAATAGCTCTGTTTGCTTTGCATGCTTAAGGTGAATGTCGGAAAGCGTAAGATGCATTGTTTCATAATTTCTAATTATAGGTAATATATTTTTTTTTAAACTTTTAGTGTTACTAGTCATCTATATCCAAAAATTTTTTATCTTTTGAAAAATAACTTCACCAGCCTAAATCCAGCGGTCCATATGCTAAACACCAACGTTCAGTCGATTATGATATAAATAAGATAAATTTACGTGATAACCTGCAAACATTTGCATCTGGTGACTCTGGCTTATCATCTGCCACAGAATTAGATCATCTAATTTACCAGCTAAGTGAACTTTCATTCCTATCATCATCCTCTGTACCAACGGCATTGTCATCGTCTTCAAATAAATCGAACTCTGGAAACTCTGAATTGGAGATATTTGACAGTCATAAGGCGAGTCATTCAAAACAACAAATAAAAAGTAAGAGCAATGACGGCATTTCAACAATATGCACACAACACCAAGAATTTGAAGATGTAGAAGAGCATTCAACATTGTTTGTTAATAAACTGAATGAAGATGAAATTATAGATCTTTTAAATCGTATTCACGATCAAATCAATGAGTTTGGCCTAGACGGAAATCAGAACTGGTCTAATCGATCAATGCTATTGAAAGCTCTTTTTTGATTTAATAAATTACCCTTCACCAAAGCTACATTTAACAATTGCAAGACTAATGTTTTCCGTAAGTAACAATTTGATGTAGTTAGTTCATAGATCAGAAACTGTTTGTCCATTTAATTGATAATTATCCTCAGCAGCATCGGACATTTTTACTTCGTACGTTATACACAAAAACAAAGGCAATTTTTCTTCTCGGATGTTCCTCCTCCATTATATTGCACAGTCACTGTCACAGAAATTCGATACCACAATATAACCATTAAACATCAAAGTAGTGTAATGAACAAATCACATTTAAGCGTTACATTGTCGGATTTCAACTTGCATACTATTGAATGTTGCTTAATTGTATTGCAACTAGTGACTGTTATTGACTGTCAAGCAAATAGTATTATTATTTGCTTTTTGGTGTTGTAGTAACTGCTACTCACTTATGTATCTCTAAATATATTAAGTAAATTTACGGTTTGTTAACTCTGTAAAGTGTGAAATTCTGTTGGAATTTATTGGAGTTTAACATTTCGTTTTACCAACTCCAGTTCATGAATTGAAAGTTATCATAAATGCCATTGAATATGTCATGGATGACAAAGTTTTTGGAGTTGTTGAATATGGAATAGGAAAACCTTTTGTCATCGACTGATTTCGAGAAAATCACATAACTGGTGAATCAAATCACTACTAGCGAGTTATACACTTTCTTGACGTAAAAAAGGACAAAATTTTAAACCTCTAGGAAAATGTTATCAACCTGCTATACCTCGTTGTACAATATGTATTCAAACTGTGTCAGACAGTTTAATTGATAATGAACTGATATCTGCTATCCTGCCATATGCTTTTTTGTGATTAGATTCAACAAGAAAAGTCAAAAAGAAAAATAATTTCGTCTTTCACCTCATCACTTCCCCGTCCCATTATTAAGAGTTTAACCAAATTTTTATGCAAATGATTTACCTTCTTTTCTAGATGAATGTAACTGGCAGAAATTTGTTAAATATTTGCAAAATTGTGTACAGAGTAGCTAAAAATGCAGATAATGACTATTTATTCTTGGAGAATCCTAATACACTTGGTGAGCTTTAGCACTTATTTGATTATCTTTTGCTCGTTTATTTGCTTTCCATTTTTACAGGTTATGCATTAAAGACTCTGAGTGAGATGGACTTACTGTCGGAGACCTGAACGTTATAAAATATCTTACTAAGTGACATGAGTAGTTGAGTAGCACTTACTCTTGTTAGGTAAAATGAAATTAATCGTATTGTTTGTCTGCCGATACCACTTGTTATTCAATGCCCTGCTATGAGAAGTTATAACTTTTTTATTATATTATTAACTAACAACACAAACTTAGCACTACCAGATTCATAGTACAAAATAATAAACCAGAAGTAAGAAGATATAGAAAATGGAGGACGGGACCCAAACAAAAGTATAAATAGGTTACTTAGGAAGCACCTTCATAGACTCATCCAATTAAGTATCAACCATTTTAGTTTTTTTCCTTCAGAAACACGGAATGTGTAGTATAGCTACCATCAATTTTAAATATAAGCCATGTGTGCTATTGTCTTAAACCACTGAGTTGTATGATTTCTTATATCCTATGTAGGGAGTTCTGAGGCTCCTTCAGATGCTAACTCAACACATCTATCCTTTATTCCACGATATCATGTCATACACTGGCCATCTCTGTATTTCTTCCAATCAGTTCTAGGGTAAACGAATAGTGAGCGATATCAGAGCCATTGAGATTATATGTGACACATGCCCAAGCCACCGAAACGGATTATGGTATATACCCCACCCAATGAATCAGAATCATAGTCTATTCATTTTATTGAATGTTTCTCAGTGGAGAGCCTACTGATATTCGTGATTGCAAAAGGCACTCAGTTGTGCAAAGATCAGTGTCAATCATGCAATCGGAATGTAATTCACTATCCGCTGATTTGAAAACGTAGCTTCTAAACCACAAGTTCTGAGAATCTAGTTACTTAATCTTCTATCATAAATTCATGCTTTCCCTCACTGGTCTGCTAATTTAAGAGGAGCTGAGTTTAACTTAGCTGACTGAACAAAATCGCCACTTTAATTTTAGAACAAAATCGATAGTTCACACAGTCAGCAACAACAATATAGAACCTCATACACAATTACTGAGCTTTAAATAATCATCATACATGATAGTATACGAATAGTAATCAAAAATAATGGATAGATTTGGATTAATCAAGATGATAAACATTCGAAGAAGGAGACTAATGAATAAACTGTGATGAATATTTAACATATTTAAGAGGATGTGCAGTAAATGTGTGCTCACCAGTAACATCGACTTTTAACCTTCAAGCACAGTTCTCATCCACTGATTCCGAGCTTTTTTAGGACATCAAACAATCAGCTTACCAGCCTGTGTAAATGCATAGGAATTATGTTTTGTTAAGACAACTCTGTCTTTGGTCCAGTCTATTACAAATCCTATCATCATCACAGTTTTAATTGTAATTGGACTATTTGCAAAGCAGTTTTAATTCCTCTGGATTTATGCACAAACTAGATGGCAATATATTTGAAATTGTCTAGCGAATTCGAAGCGTTATGATTACACCTACAGCTGTTGAGCTAAATAGCAACAATCCAAATTTCGATGATTGGATAAATTTCCCCTAGATTAAAGAATTGTGTCGATGTGGTCAGCAAGCATGAAATCTCTATGAAGGAAGGTTTCATGCTGAAAAATTTCAAATATTTAGAGCACAAAGAGCTGTCTGCCTCTGCAGTGACTCATATACTGACTAGTAAGAGCAACTTACTGATTTACACCTCAAGAAATTGAAAACAGTATTCCATAGGAGAAAGTACAACTATGATGCATTCATTAAGTTGGCTTTCTATCAACTAATATTCAGTGTTAGGTGAACATTTGTGCATTAAGTTCACTAGCTGGCTTTTGATTAACAGTAGTAATGGGAGGTCAGTTACGGCCCGCATCTTTCAGTGGTAACGTCAATGATTGTGACACTGGGTGACGGGGGTTCAAATCTCATAAAGAATATCAGTTCCGTCGAGGCTGCAGATAAGCCTCGCTGATGAGTGCCAGCAAGAACAAAACCTAGGTCTTGGGATTTTACTCGTTATTTCCAACCAACTGGCATCCAATAACATGTTTTACTGAAGAGACCACTATTAAATAAATACTGAGGAAATGTTTAGCTCATTCGCATTGTGACTTACTGTGGATTAACTCAGACACGTTCAGAGCAGAAATTCGAGTTGTCCCAACTAACTTTATGATTGAGTGACAACGGTAATCTCATTGACTATTTTAAAAATCGGATTATTTGCTAGCTGTGAAGTTCGAAATGGTACTTACAGAAACCAACTGATATTCTGTCATTAAATTAATTCATAAGCCTGCACTCAGCCCTTACGCCACTTGTTTACTGCCATTTTCATCTCTTTTTCAGATACTCTAATTAGAGCAATACAGCTCATAGAACTACCTATTCAATCTTTGTCTTCTTCCTCACCTACTGCAAATTCATCATCCTATGTTTTTAAAAATGACTTACTTCAAAATCCTGCATTATTTTGTATGAAAACTGGAGAGTTTGTTATTTCTATCTGGTACAATGAAGTTTCTCATAAGTAATATAAATTTTACTCGAAAATTTCATTCTAACTCGAACTTTTTACAAAATCTAATACTTGTTCACAGACAGACATTTGAATTAATGGTCTTTTGTGTAAAAATCCAAAATGTCTGCATAAACTATGTACTTGTGAGAAAGATGTTTGTAATAATAAGGATGCAAGTCAAGGTTTTAAATTCATACAACATTCATACCATATTTTGTTGCAGGTGAGTTACTTTTGGAAACAATATACTTGTAAACATTTTTCCATCTTTGCATTATATCCACCGATCTTTTAGCTGATATAAATTAAGCCTTAAAAAGCTGTAAATGGATCACAAAGTACTCAAAATTGATTTATGACATTGGTCGATAACGATATCAGAATATCTAAATCAGTTAAGTGATAGTAACAGTGTTGGAAGATTTGTTGTAAACAGCTTAATAATCAATTCCGATGGCGTACATTCATGCACGTCTTATATAGATGGGTAACGTTGAAGCAATCAGAAATATTACTTTCAGAAGTTTTGGTCAGTTTTAGTCTATCTGTTTCCTTCAGTATCTGACCTCACACACATCCTGCATTCCACTGCTAGCCACAACCAAGTCACTTAAAACAATATATATTCAGTCAACATCGAAGCATTAGCATAAGATTCTATATACCAACAGAGTTCGATTATTTCGATCCAGTATAACAATGGAGAAAAACAATTAAATTGACAAGTAGTGATAACTAATAACCGTTGTAGAAGAGGTGGCTATCGCGCTCCATTGGCCTAATGGACAACGCTTTGGTGTTTGAAGCGATGGGCACGAGGTTCGAGTCTCACTGGGGTGCAGCTACACCTACCTGACGAGTCCAAAACAGGACAAGGTGCACGTCCTAGATTCCGCTGCTAACTAGAACCACGTAGATTATGAAGTGGAAAGTTTTCTTAAATGTCAGAAAAGATGAGTGATTGGTTGTGATCCCTGTAATTGGTGGGCTGTGTCAACTACAATCTCAAACTAATGATTTTCGACTTTTCCACCCCACTAACAGAAAGTCTGCGTGAAGTGATTACCATGAGGTTTCCTCTACCTCCCCTACTAAGATTCTACATATGCATCGATAAGTATCATAAAGCGAAATTCTTATCAACTAGTTTTTTCAGTTGATACATAGTTGGTGAAAAGTGAGGTTTCCACCTTTGAAGGTAGCAAAATAAATACCCTGAGAGCATCACAGCTAAATATTATAAAAATAAACTGGACGATTTGAACTTTCTCTTTGGATATTCGTGTCAAGTACATGAAACCATGATATATTTCAAAAGCCAAATATTCAGCTTTCCACTGCCATTTATAAAACGCAATAAAAAACTCGAATGGAGATGCACTCAGCAACCTTTTGTATAGTCATGCAGTAGCGAATGAACCACACCTTTCGTATGAGGGTTTGTTGTATTACCTGGCTGCCCAAATCTCAGTAAGTGTAATGGTGCTCGAAGCCGCAGCTAGCGATTGTAGCATAACTCTAGTACCACAGTGATAGATTTAGTATCATCCCTTAGCATATTTCGCTCAGATCACTCAGTAGAAGTGCTCTTAAGCTTCTCCATGTAATTCTTTCCATCACTTCATGCTTTCGATCTGAAAAATAATGTTATGAAAAATAAGAGCACTGTTTCTTGACTGATTTTCTATTTTAGCATTTGCTAGTATGATAAAAAAAAACCTTTTGCTATCATGACAAAGGAATGAGGCCCAACTTTAAGAGTAATTTTCATATGCGCGAGAACACGTTCCCCGACAATGTTTTCATATCTCCTTGTTTATTCTTACTCACTAATTTTCACAATTACTGCTCATTGAATTAAGCGCTTCATGAAGAGTTAATGGTTCAAACATGTTGACTAACCTAGAATTATGTATTGTAAAAGTATCCAAATAATAGTGTATGGCTTTCTTTGACTTTCTGTTGTGTAGCTCTTAGTTTAGCTTATGATTATGACTGACCATAAATCACCCAAGTACTTTTTTAATCAACCATTTAACATTTTCCTTTTCAATCTAAATATGTGTTAGTAAATGGTTTCCAAATATTGAATTTGTATAAAATTTCTTTCTTTGTACTTTAGGTTACAGAAATTTTCTGTCATCTAAGTTCAGTGGAGTTATTTCGTCCACAATTAATTTCACCTGATGGCATATTAGAACATGTTATAAACTGTATTATCAATTATCATGAACACGTTATTCATAAACAAAGTAGAATAAATTATACGCAAGTTGTAACTGCAGCATCCGATCATTCAGATATTAATACAATTTATTTTAATTGGATAAGATTTTTATCTCATTTAACTGAGCATGCAGATGTTTGTTATCGTTTAGAAAATTGGTTAATACCGTCCAAAGACAGAGACACTATGAATCTGTACACCAATAAGAAAAAAGATAGTTCAATAAATGTCTGTCAGACCATATCAACAAGAATTACAACACTATGTCAGACGTTGATTAATTCAATATATTTGTATAAAGAAAAGGAGGTATGTCATTTAATGCATAGTATAATTTTAGATAGATTTTATATTCTGTGCATGTATTGAAAAACAACAGTTAAAATGTATCTACAGTTCATACTTACCCGAAAGACGAGGAGATGTATATTGAGGATGAAAATATTTCATAACTAGCTATGAAACAAGGAATCTGTTTTACGTTCAAAAAGTCATCGGCTTAGAAAAATAACACCATGATCATGAGTTGACTGTAAACTAAGTTACTTGTTGATATTTGGTAGTGATTTTATACACATAAAAGTTAAATTATGAGCAGCAATCTTCCAGACAAATTCCGTTAGTTAAATCCTTTACAGTATTGGTAGTCATCAAAATGCTGATTTCATAAAATGTAGTAAAACAACTCTCCACTCATCGCTCTTAGATATCTTATCATTTGTATTTTGCTTTACACGTAGTTGAATAATGTATTTGAAGTTAACTCTTAGTATAATTAGCTTAATAAGCCTAGAAGTTACATATATTTCTTGTGAACGACTGTTTAAAAATGCGAAAACTGGATTCAACTGATAGTTGATGAATTCTTTTGAACAGCCCACAAAGAAATATTTTTTCTCCAAACCAACTCAAATGCAGAGGCTTCTGTGACCATCAAAAGGGTGATTGGTCTTACCACTTCACATAATTAGCTTCAACTGGAAAAAAGTGAATCATTACGTACTACTGGGCATATACTTAGGCACGTCTGACTTTACAGGGACTGACCTACTCCCTGGAGGTCATCTGGCTGACTTGGGGTATGTAAACAATATAGTTCTGCTGGGGGAAAATGCTGACAAAGTGAAGGGTCTTTTAAACGCGTTGAGCATAGATCTAAGCATATTTGCATGCTTCTTGCACGTATCAAATGTAAGATGTACCAGGACTGTTCTGAAGCCACTCTCAATTAAATGATACGGAGTGAAGTGGTGGAATGTGTCGACCATTTCACTTGCTTGAGGATTTCCATCTGTGCGAACCAGCTAGTTGCTGACAGAATCTCAGCTCAGATACAGAAGGTCCGTTCGGCATTTGGCAACCTACATCATCTCTGGCGCCGACTGGAGAGATATCCGACTACCTATCGAAAGACGAGCATACTGCGCTGCAGCTCATTCATCATCATCATCATCATTATCAACATAGGACCAGGCATTACTGCGTAACGGTCCGAGTTGCCACACCTCATATCAGCACATCAAGTAAAAAGGTAGTGAGGTGAAGGATGAAGATAAGTGAATGCAGTCAAAAGAAATATAAAGTATGAGAAGAAAGGAAAGAGGAGTGACAAAATAGTGAGATTCGGTATAGCGTTGTTAAGATGAGGATAATGTGTGTATACATCTGCGCCACTGACTTCGGTTCTGAGCCATATCACCTAGGGTCTCCAACCACTGGTTCCTCTTGTCCCGTGGACCCCAACCACCTAGTCTGCATCGTCCTACATGGCTTAAACCAACAGTCAGAGACTTCATACATTGGTGCCATGTTTTAGTCTGGCCACCTCGGGCCTTTTTCCAGCCTGAACCCACCTCAGCCAACATTGTGTGACGAGGCAATCGGTGACTAGGCATACGTAGTACGTGTCCCAACCATCTCAGTCGATGAAGGTTCACAACCTCGTCGACTGACTTACCTCTTCTCCCTAAAACTCTACACCTAACTTCTGCATTACTCACATGGTGACACCACGGAATACGTCCTATACTACGAAGGCAACGGTGGTCAAATACCTGTAACCTTCTCATGTCTTCCACTTTCAATGGCCATGTTTCACAGCCATACAGTAGAACAGAGCGGACTGCTGTGCAGTACACGCGACCCTTAATAGACAAACGAATATCACGGCGGCGCCATAGGTGGCGCAAATTGGCAAAAGCCAATCGAGCCTTTTGTATCCGTGCAGAAATCTCATCGGCAACTAACCCACCGGAGTTGATCCTACTTCCCAGGTAAGTGAAGTGGTCAACACACTCAACCACTTCACTCTCTATTGTTAACCGCGGTACCGCTGAAGACCAGTCCTGGAGCAAAAATTTGCATTTGGGTGGTGAAAATCGCATCCCAAACATTCTCAAATTCCCACTCAAAGTGTTCAGAAGACTCTGCATCTTGTCAGCGTCTTCACCTAACAGGACTATGTCATCTGCATATTCTAGATCTAAGGAAAATTCACCTGTGATCCGGTCAACGTCTTTGTAATTAGGTGACGAGAGGGAAACCTCCATAAGAATATCTATGATAAAATTAAATAAGAATGGGGATAGTGGGCATCCTTGACGGACACCACTTGATGAGTATAGCTCCCTGGACAACTCACCATAGGCTCTAACATGCCCACAAGTGTTCGAGTAGAGAGCTTTCAATAAGGTGATGTACTTACTAGGCACGCCTTTCAGTGACAGACACTGCCATAAGACTTCTCGATCAACGGAGTCAAATGCCGCCTTCAGGTCGAGAAATACAGCTATTGTCGGGCGTCTGTAAGCATGCCTATGTTCCAGGACCTGGCGCAGTGTGAATATTTGGTCGATACATCCACGGCCAGGTCTAAAGCCTGCCTGGTTTTCTCGGGCTTGCTGTTCCCGAGCTCCACTCAGGCGTCGGAGAATTATAGAACTTAGGATCTTAGACACTATGTTTGTCAGGCTGATTCCTCTGTGGTTATCACAAGAGGACTTCTCGCCTTTCTTGAAGACTGGGATGATCAGTGACTTAGACCAGTCGGAGGGGATCGTATTTGATTCCCATATACTGGCTAACACTTCCGTTAGCCTGACTAAGAGAACTCTACCACCATTCTTGTATACCTCAGCAGGTAGTCCGTCTGGTCCTGCTGCCCTTCCCCGTTTCAGGCTACCTACCGCTTTCTCAACTTCTTCTAGTGTTGGGGGACCTGTCTCTATGTCCCATTCAGGGTCCGACTGGATAGCGGGCAGCGCAATGGTGGCTGGAGGCCAGTTAAACTGTTCCTCAAAGTGTTCTGCCCATCGTCCCAGTCGCCTTCCCTGCGAGTGAATCGCCGATCCGTCCTTCTCCGCTATAACCTCACTAACTGTTGTTGACCATTTCCCCCCAGTCTCCTTAATAAGTCTAAATAACTGTCTACTGTTACCGATCGCCGCTGCCTTTTCCATCTCTTTAGCCTTTGCTGCCCACCACTGTTCACGATCGTTGCGCAGACTTTTCGTCAGTTTATTTTTAAGTTGCGCTCGCTCTTCATTGTACTCAGAGCCTGCAGGGATGCATTCACGTGCATCCATTAGTTTGGAAGAAGCTGCTGATATCCACTGGCTCTTTTTAGCCATTATCTTGGAGTCGGCTACAGTCTCCAGTGCTGCTTTTACAGTAGACTGAAGATGGCACCAAGCTTCTTCTGGATGAGTGACAGTCTTTTGTTCCGATAACTGCCTAGCCAACTTCTCACTGAACACGGCTTTGGTGTTTTCGTTGTCCAGCAGAACTCGTAGTGGTTTTGTTGCCAAATTTTTTCTACGTCCATTGAGACGCAGGCATATACGTGCTCGGACCAACGCATGATCGCTGTCCAAACACGTACTCCAGAAGGAGCGGCAGTCTTCCACCGATCCTCTCCAGCGATGACTAATAGCAATGTGGTCTATCTGTGTCCATCGCTGAGTCGAGCTCGGTGGACGCCAGGTCAGACAGTGCCTTTCTTTATGTCTGAAATTTGTGCTGGCTAAAAATAGGCGGTTATCTGAGCATAGTTGTAATAGGCGATCACCGTTATCTGTACGTTCAGCTGGGATTCCGAAAGTGCCACCTAAGTGCCTTTCTGCCTCACTCAGTCTACCCACCTGTGCGTTGAGGTCACCTGCAACAACCACTACGTCCGAACGTTTGGCTTTCGAGAGGAGGTTAGACAGTTTATGGTAGAACTCGTCCTTCACTTCATCCGAACTACAGTCAGTGGGTGCGTAAGCAGAGATTACAAAGAGACAACGGCGAGTCTCACTATTCCTTTTAGTTCTCACTGTGCCGTTCAGCCTCATAGCGCAGAGGCGACTATCAACTGGGATCCAGTCTAGTAGTGAGTTTTCTGCCCTGGTGCTTAATGCTATACCTACACCTGCAAGACCACGAGAGCTAGCTATCGAATCTCCAGAAACTCGAAGGGTGAATTTTGCAGATTCACCAGATTGGTCAGGAGAGGTCAGGTGAATAACCACACTTGGGTCCTGTATGCGTGTCTCACAAACACAGCACACATCCATGCCCGAGTTGCTAGAGTCTTTGCCAACGAAGCCTGTTGGCCAATTTGACGGAGGGTGCGGACATTGAAGGCTCCAATATGTAATTTGGAGCGTGGTTTAAGGAGACCAGGGACACTGTTCTGTGGACTCAGATCGTTGTCGAAGGCTGCAGAGGTAGGAGAAATTGAAGATGATGCAGCATCATTAATTAAGAGACGTGAAGGAAGATTAGAAGGTAATGATGGAGGAGGAGGATAGCAGTCAGAAGAAACTTGGGTGCTGACAGAGTTGTGAGGGCGGTTGACACTTCCCGGCTGCCCACACCGTGGAAGGCTATTTCTTCTTAAGGTACCTGAAAGAGATTTGTGTGACCGCAGAGCCCATCGGACATCTGCTTGAGGCCTGTCACACCCAGCCTTTTGAGTATGATTATTTTGAATTTTTGTATTTTTGGGGCCGGATGAGCGAAAGGAAACGACAAGTGAACCAACACCGCCGGCCCGGCAGACCGTGGGGCGTGGTGGAGTGTGTTATTTTTGGGGCCGACCTTTTCTAACCCCCCCTTCCACTGAGAAGGCAGCATCAGCTTGGCACTGCTGGTCATCCAAGGGAAACACCTTACTGCTGTCACACCCCATCCAGCTAGCAGCAGTACGACTTCGCCCTCAGACCCCCATCATAGTGTAGCAATTTACACTATGACGGTAACTGCTTTTCGTCTAACCACTACCCAACAGACCTTTCTGGTATGGTAGGACCTCGAGGGAACAAGCGTTCCACCAGCATAGCTCGTTGGGTCATTGTGATATGCAAGCCCGACCACCACGTCAAGGTAGCAGCTATCGGTCGGGATGCAGCTCATTATGTCCCATAATACGGCTGTGAGACGTGGTCGTTGAAAGTAGAAGAAATGGGGTGATTATAGAGTTTTTTATAACAGATGTATCCGTAGCATTGCTTGCGTTTTATGGATTCACCGTAAGAGCAATGTTGAAGTCAAGCGAAGGGTACTAGGCAGGTCGACTGAGGTGGCTTGAACATGCGTTTCTCATATCAACCCACTGCCTACCTAAACGTGGCATGCTGGGGGAAGCTGGATTAGGCTGCGGAAGGATTCATGGTGACCGAACTAAGACATTGTAAAGCTGCAAGAAGTCTCTGACTATTAGTGTGAGTCGTGTAAGGAGATGCAGACTGGCTGGTTGGGGTCCCTGAGAAGAAATGAATCGGTGGTGAGGACCCTTGGTGACATGGTTGAAAATCAGTCACAACAGCGCGGATGTATTCACTCACTGACATCTCCTGATGCTTGAATATTTGTGCCAACCGTTATTTTCGGATTCGCTATTCTCCCACACAACTTCAATTACTTTGATATCACTCTTTTTCTATACACCTGTTCTTTACTTACTACTGTGGCAACTGGGGCCAATGCAACTGTGAGGGAGGTTCTACGTGGATTTAATCTGTCGATGCATTATTTGTATATCGTTGTTAATAAGGGTCCTTAACAAATGAAGGTATCACTCTCTTACATGGTAACGATAATCCAGGTGGAAAACCTGGATCAAAAGCGTATTCTATTGATGCTTTCGATTAGGCATGAATTGAGTCGTCCAAAAGAGTAAAACACTACCTATAAAATCCATCATTGCTTCACTTTTCGTTGGCATACATCGTTATTCGATTTCGATTTTAATACTGCATACTATTGTTATTTTTCTGCTCATTATACTTCAATAAACTGTGTCAGTTTTGTCAGTTAAATTATTAGAGATTCTTTACTTTAATTGTATGCTATCATTTGTTTGCATTACACTTAGGATCTTGTTGTAAGGATTTCTTATGTACTTGGCAATCTAGCAGCTAGATGTGAACGTGCACGCGTTGCAATTTTGCCCGATCAAGAGTGTTTATTAAAACTATGTGACTTCTGCCGCCAATATAATTCAACAATATCTACCAATGGTTCTGACAATCTTAAAGTTCAAACTGATTCATCTATTTTGAACAATAGTGAAAAAGATTTGACTAAGTCAAACAATAGTGGTATGTTTGGGACTTCAGTTTTACACAACTCTACTTATGCGTGAAATTTCAAACCTTTGATTTAATGTGAAACTTTGTCATATTAGTTTCGGCAATCGACTTTTAATTGGTCACTTATGTGAACCTCGTTCAAATTTGAGTAAAGACATTTATTTTTTCCACATCAGACCTCTTAAGTCTTTTTGAACGGTATGAACTTTATGTTCCAGACAGTTTTCATTTGTTGAACTAGCACTGGTTGATGTTAGTAATCACTAGCAGCCATATAGTATTGTTCAAAATCCGGTCTAAAGTATATTAAAAAGGATAACATCAATGATGTTGTTTGCGTGCGGTTAACTTTGTCATTACAAGAAACATGAGGTTATCTCTTGGACCTCTAATTGCTGACTGCTTCATGGCTAGCCCAACAACCGATAAACTTCATGTATTCAGAAGATAACGTGAACAATGCTTTCATTGTTTTAAATGACAACCTGGATCAAACTCAGCGTTTCATTTTCTTGACACCAAACTCCAAAAGAGACTTAAAAGTGTCATTCAAAGATCTATCTGCAGAAAGTCTAATTGGAACGGACAACTGATCAACTTTCAAAGTTGAGTGCCTTTAAGCAGGAAGATGAGTCTTGTCCTGTCACTCTCACTAAGAACAGGAAATATATGTAGTGGTGATATACTTGTTCAGGAATTGGAAACCTTCTGAGAAATTGTGTAAGAGAATGGCTGCCCATCCAAATTTATCGAGAAAAATATAAAAGCATAAAAGACTGTGGGACAGATTCAGATAGCTCCAAAGAAAGTACTTTTAATGAATCTCAGACTCATAGGTAATATTGCTGCGAACATTCTTCATCAGCGTCTTTCAACGTCCCTAAGCAGAACATTCTATGTTGCGAACCTCTGTACTGTATTCTCATGTCAACCCCTGATTTATGTGTGTGAAAAACAAGCTGGTGAATCGGGCCTCATCAATATGTATTTACAAGTTCACTTGCTCCTGGTTAGCTGAATATTTCGGTCGTACTATACACCTGCTTGAAAAACGCGCTTGCGAACATTTCACAGTCTGGTTGCTTAAGGGTGAGCACGAGACTGTCTTCATCTTCATCGTTGAACATCTCGTCTAATGTTTTCTATGAAATTCAAGAAACTGTTTAAAAGGGGTAAGGACTGGACATCGATTTACAGTCGAAGCTTTGGTAATTCACAGTTTCAAACCTCAACTGTATATTGAAAAGAATAATTTATGATCACTCATTTTCATGACTTTGAACAGACACGCTGCACTTCTGTTTATGTTTTATTTTTGTGTTTTACTTGTTCATATGCTTTTTTTATTGTTACCAGATGCCAAATCTTACTGTTCAATGCGTTGAATGAAAACTATTAAGATCTTTTCGTCTACTACGTATAGTTTCATGCCTTCTATGTATCTTTCAATTAACTTCGACTGAAAACTTGTCTGGAACATTCTATCCTTTAACTTATATACATACAAATGTACAGCTGTGAAAAAGAGTCATCGAAAAGATAATTATCTTTATTATGAAAAATGTTAGTGATGCATTCTAAAAAATGCTTACAGTTTAGCTTAATTTAACTTTTATAGAAATTGAAGAAGAAGGACTAAACTTAAACGGAAAGATAAAGAGGAATTTATTAGCGATAGCAGTAATTGAGGTTTTACATTTGTTTCATCGTCAAATACCAAACTAACTTCTGAACCCAACAATTGTCATAGAAATTTTAGCATTGAATTAATCAAAAGACATGGTAATAGTAGATATTTTTAGTGTAAAAAATGGTTAGAATAATTTCTACTATAAAATCTATCCCAAAATAGGAAACTGGTTAAATGTCTCAAACAGACATGTGTATTATTCTGATAACTTACTTGGCTAGTAAAATTGTAGTTGAAGTAAATAATTGCGGAACAATACAAAGAAAGTAGCAAAAGCTTCCTTCTTCATCTACTAATTTTCACCAAAATGATGAATAAACATAGTTTAGATGTTCTTTAATTATCTCGAATAATTTTCATGTATGGCTGATACTTTCTTAGTTGTATTGTATTTTCATATATAACTGTGGGCCTTTTTCAATGACCATGTATTTAAAGATGGTTAGTTTCTTTGTAGATTGACTATATTATTGGTACACCTTGGTAGAGATTTCTTTCACCAGAGTTATTCATTTTTAAAAGACACGTAATTCAAAGACACAAATTAATTCAGCGAAGAAAATTCTTTTTTGACAAATCATTTTCAGCAGCTTTTACAATTGTATTTATAGCAATAACAAACAAATAGACCAGCGTTTTATCGGCTAATAGGCTAACATTAGCTCATCAAAACGAGATGTCCTTGAATCAAATAGTGGGTGGTATGTAGAGTTAAAATCGGATTGCGTAATCAAGTGTGTATGAGAAAAGTTTGCAATAGATTCAAGTGATGACTATTAGCTTGAAAAATAAATAGGTCAAAGATAATAAAACTAATTATAATCAATAATCTCAATAAAATATTTCAAGAATTTTAATGGGAGATTGGAGCTAACATGTTAAGATGTAGGGAAGTAAACTGCAAAGTAAAAAGTAGTAATAATCAGTCAGTAAGAAAAAGATGAATACTGAAGCAATAAAGAAACTAAAGAAAATATTATGACCGCGGCAAAATAAGAGAGTGGACGTACCTCCTAAGTACATAGAGCTCTGTTATTCGTAAATGACGAATCCACACTCTTTTGAGCCTTTTGGATTGACTTTATGTGGGATTTTGAAGGAAGACTGTGGGGGAAGCCACATGACCAGAGTTGATGAAAAGATCCATGATGGAACTATTGCTTGATTTGGGTTCTCCTCTACATAGCCACACAGGATAGTGCTTGGAGATACGTTTGGAAAGACTGTGCTTTGTACGGCCTACGTAACCAGTTCTACAGGAGCAGGTATACTTATACCCACTCATGGATGTAACCTAAGGCAGCATTGTGTCATGCACACTATCTTGAATTAATTGTCAGTTGAATTACCTTTGATTTTTAAATGTCTCAATGGGAATTTTTTCAGACGTAATTATTAAAGTTTCATACTCCGTTTGTTTTTGAAGCCATTTAAGTACATGTTCTCCCACCCTCAACTGTATGGCTTGATTATTTCTCCCCATATATGTGTTACCACTCACACGTGTAACTAGTAAGCAGTATAGAATGTGATATGATTAGTGTTCACCGTCCACGTTTGTGGTAAAGAATTTGCTTCTTTTTTTCCACGATAATAAGCTTAGCTGTTTCATAGGTTTTTCTAATGGATGATGTTAGCCTACGTCTCAAAATTACACCATTCAGCTCCCCTCTGTTTATTAAAGTGATGCCGATGCTTTTATTAGGAACAGTGTATGGAGTTGGTTTTTGTTCTACCTGACTTCTGCAACGGTTTATAAACTTCAACGGATATCTGTTTTTCATAAGTGTTTTAGTGACCATACAGAGGGGGGTTTAATGGTATAATTTTGAGACGGGTTAACATCGTCCATTAGGAAAACCTATTATGCAGCTAAGCTTATTATTGTGGAGAAAAAGAAACAAATGCTTCACTACAAACATGAATGCTGCATAAGTGATTGCGTCTCATCTCATTATAACAAGGTGTGTAAGCGGGCAATCCTGTTTTCAACTAGATCTCATCAACATATTTATATAATTTATTTGAATCCTGGTCAAGATTTGACCAGTTAGTTTCACAAATATTGGGCACCATGTGAAAACTTGACATTAAATATAAGTTACATTTGAACAAATCTCAGACTATTTGAAATAAGAAATTACAACTTTTCGGACGATAGTCTGTTCCGAACTTCTCCAGGGAAGAATGATGTAAATCGAAAGGAGGCTGAGATAGAAACTGTTACCAGACTAATTGTAGAACAGTGATTCATTCGTGGTAAAAATTAAGACAAACTGGTACTTATCTACAGAACTGACATTGGTTTGAAGCTGTATCAGTTTACTTTTCTAAAAATACAGATATCTACCACTTAAACGATCATAATCAAACAATTCACAGCTATTGTGTTTGTTATCAGTTGAGGGATTCACTTCGTCAAGGGTAATCTTGCATTAATTAATCAAAATAATCATATATCAATATTGTATTAGTCCAACAATTGGCATTTTATGTTGTTAGTCAAAAAGAAAGTGAACTTAGTCATGTTAATAACTACCTGGAAGCTAACAGCATATTATGCGTGTAAAAATGACCAAGAGTGATTAAAGGTGATCGTTTTGTTACTAATCTTATCTGCTAACCAGTTTTCTTAATTTTCTCTCTTCTTATTTCACTCTTTACATCTAGATTTCTCGAATGATGTAGTAACATTTAAAGAGGATAAATCAGATCGTTCAATGAATCTTTTACAATATGACACGTTAGTGAAGTTATTAAGAATCATAGCAAATGTCACAATAAGTGAAACTGCTGGGTTTTTATGCACAGCAAACTTTGATTGCATAAATCTGATCCTGGAAATCATAGGTAAGTTCGCTCCCTTTATACATCTAAACTTTGGACAGCACCTTTATTTTGTAATTATTGTTATTATTATTACTACCAATAGAATTGATAGTATCATGCACATCTTGGTGTTAGGCGCTAATAAACTGATCAACATGAAAACTAATAAGAAAGCCGAATTTTAATAAATGAACACCTGAGTAGGAAAGAACAAGGGGATGGTGAATGTATGGTGGACGATTAGTATACTGTAATAAGTTATCTGTGATTCAGACGAAAATTCAAAGTAGTTTCATCTACAACATTGCAAGTGATTTTAATTCATATAGTCCGGAGTATCTAACTGTTATTTCCTAACTCTTGGAATAACCTCAAAAATTTATGAGTCTATTAAAATGAAGAGCTGGTGACTTTGTGTGTTAATAACTAATTTTGAATTGATCACCTCCAGCATTTTACCAAATATAGTTTTAATTATGTCCTGCTTCGCTCATAAAAATTAACAGTGGCCTGGGATAAATTCCAAATGGATCATCGTCATCTCTTTGTACACATTTTTAACCTGATTGATTCACCTACTTACTTCTCTATAAGCCACACTTTTATCCCTAACTTTGCTGTTCTTATTATTACACACATATATGCAACAATTTATGGACTCCAACAGTCTAAGTTCTATAATTTTCTCATATTCTTTTCCTTCCACAAACATATCTAATAGCAGGAAAGTAGTAAAACTTAACCTAATGCGTAGCAGATGTATAACCGAAAACATAATCATTGTTTTATTAAGATTTATCAACCTCACGATAGTATTTTCACCTCAAGAGACGAAAGTACCGAGTGTGAATGATATTAAAAGACACAGGATTTCAAAGTCGAAATTTCTCATGTCTGCAGTTATGATTTGACCACTACTATCTTCACAAAAACCTATCTCTCAATCGATAAAATACACTAAAAGGTGATTAACCAGTAAATTACACTGAAACACATTTTTTAATTCCATTTTCATTTTTCGGTATTTCATAAACCCTGGTATATTATAAAAATTCCTCACTTTATGTCAGTTAGTAACACTAAAAAAATCTATATATTCTTCGAAAGCACTAATTTGAAGGATTTGGCTTGTTTATAGGCATAACAATTCATTCACACTTGGTCTTATTTATACTTCCAGCTTCCCAGATATTGGAAACAAGATGATTGATATCTTGATACAAGATTCTTTCCATCTGATAGTTTATTTTTAGGCTGTCTAGTTCCAGAAATGGTTCTACTGACTAAAACATGCAGGAATGGCAAGAAAATGGGAAACTCAAATTTACAGGAGGCCAATGCACACTGACCAAGTCCTTAACTACAGTAGTAACAACCCAACAATGCGTAAAACTGGTTGCGTACAGACTCTGTTCAAGAGAGTGAAAACACACTGCAGTACGACAACTTCATGTGGAAACCAAGAAAATTACTTGACGTCTGTCCCAAATAAGAATGGTCACCCACGAAACTTTATCAGAAGATGCCTATTCTGTTCATCTTCAACTACAAAACCATCCACAGGAATCAGCGAACGGATTATCCTACTTAACATAAAGAATATCAGAAATCATGATAAGAATACTGAGAACACTTGGAATTAGTGTGGCTCATAAATCAAACAATACCTAGCAGATCAAAGTACGCATCAACCAAAGAAGATAAACCGAATATTATTTACAAAATCAACTAGAATAGTTGTGATCAACACTACATTGAACAAAGTGGTCGCCCTATTCATCTACTAAACGTCAGGACACTTCAACACTTACATCAATGCACCTGGATAACTATGGACATGAAGTCAATTCTGAAAATGTGGAAATCTTGGATCAAAGAAACACGAAGAATATCAGAGAATACCTAGAAGCTTGGCGTTCAGGTCCGTTAGTAATCAGTAGTTGTATAGACCTCGACCCATTCTTACAACCAATAAGAAAAATGAGAAGCCACAAAATGGTCAGAGATCAGGCAGCGAAACAGGCAAAAAGAAATCTATCCAGTCAATGGCACAATAATCAAAGTAAACAACCAATCACAAACCAGTTCGTCAGGGCCAGTGACTGAATCACTCATGGAGAGATATTGACAGCTCACTTCATTTTGAAGTTAGTGCTCATAATGTTGTCTGGAAAGACAATGAAAGTTTTGTTGTCATACTTTACTCGCTACTCATGTATTTGCCACCAATCATTTTCATTTAGTTGTTCGGTTGATAGACCAATAAGGTTTGGCAGGAAACCCCTCATTCATCAGTTTTAATTCATTAACAGTATAAAGTAGGTTAATTTCTGAGTTTTACAGCAGTATCCATGTTAGTATCCTCAACCAATAAGGTTACACGTTTGCCAAAGTGGAAACAAAATTTAGTTTAAAATCTTTAGAAATGGTTTTTTTGTCAACAGAGTATTGCACCAGTCCTAATTAAGGTCTGTATATGGATTACGCCGAATGCATCTTTTTATATTCCCTACACTGTGATTTCGATTATCATATGATCTGGTTGACTGGAGTAGTCACAGGAATTTCAAAACCGTATTAGTTTAGGCAAGCACATATCTTCATAGGCTTCATTTTCTAGAAATGATGTAATACGCGTTCCTGATCAAAAATTTATATTCTTCAGTTTAACAATGTCATCATCCACCAATATTCATAAATGCTTTTTCCACATTATCAAGTTCATAACTGTTAATATTATTTCATGAGCTTTTCGTTGAATTATTTTCTCCTTTAAATTATAGATGGTCAACATATAGGTGAACCGAATGAATTGCTGCTCAACTGTTTTGCTTGTCTAAACAATTTAACTTATTATATAAAACAAGAGTTAACTGAAGAATCCGTTAGAAAACAGTGTGAAATAGCTGAATGTAAGTTTATAAGTTATTTCCTATTTTAACATCCAGTGGTATTAGTGTGAAGTTCAGGTATATTATTATGATGCACATTCTTGAAAAGTAAGAGATTTATGTTTCATCGAATTCTATGCAGTCTATAAATGATACAAGTTCGAACTTTTCTCTGAATTGTAATTTAAAACCACTAAAACTCGTTCTAAAAAATCATTTTTGTATCTAATTATTTTATTGTAGAACCTTTATTGCTTGGGACATTTCTAATGATTTATTTTAGTTTTAACCGTCGCTCTCTCTCTCTCTTAAAATGCAGGTCTTTTACGTGTAATGAGGAAAATAGTTGGTCATCAGGATGAATTTCTTGGCGTTATACGTGTATTTGGTAATCTAACACGTCATACACCAATAAGACAATGGTTAGTCAGTAATTCTAATATTTTGCTACAAATTTCGACTTTGAAAGAGTCTACTACTAATAATACTGATCTGTTCGATAAGAATGACGATTTGGCGCTAAATACATCATATCGACAAAATGCTTTTCTATATCTACTTATACAAGCACTAGATTCGTCAAGGGCAGACCATGTGTATAGTACTTTGGGCGTATTGATCAATTTGATGACAGACTTTGAACACAGGCCAATGCTACGAACACTGGGAGGTCTGACAAAGTGAGTTACAATTTTATGGAAAATCCTAAGGGTTTGCTATCTTCAAGAGTCTTATTAAGTATTAATGTTGGACACTTATTACCAGAAGAACTTAATATGTGCGTTTCGTCCTGTTTGGAACTCGTCAGCTGAACCTAGCCGTCCTCAAAAGTGATACTATTTCTATTGACACTCAAATCCCACACCTGTTTTAAGTGCCATGGCCTTTTCCGCTAGACTACTGAGCCATGGTAGCGACTTCTCTTGGGACGGAATTACCAAGAATATCATCATCAGCAAGAAAACTGAAATTACTAGTTGTGCTGAGGAAACCGCAGAGGAATTCAACATTGTTATTTCGATCTACATCAATCAGCGATGACGAAATACAACCTTTAACATTTTATAAAACAGTTCAGAGTTTTTATCCTCTCATTTTTGTACCCTTCGCTGTTAATTTTGTAGCAGATATGTGCGGACATCAATTTGAACTACCCGCTTTGTTTATTCTAATCTATTACCAACACATCAGTTTTAAAGATTAACTTAGAACTTTAAACAGTAATTGGTCAAATAAGATAAGGTACAAGATGCAGAGCAGTATGGCTAGATGATTGAAGGTGGTTGTATCCATGGCATATTACCTCTTCCTTCTTATTTCTCTTAAATTTTGAAATATTTATTGCAAATTAATTAGAAATATGAATTATTTAAATTTTAGAAAATCAATTATTTCTACCCAGTAAGCAGAAAGATTCCTTTTCGTTTTTCTTTATGTAGAAGAGAAAAACTAAAAAACCAAAATTCGCCTCATCGAATGAAAATAATGCGAAGAAAAAAATTACTGTTAACAAGTTAAAAAACAGTGGAAGCTTGGTCACTTCTATCTAAACATACTCCAAGTCCTTAGGTGAAAATGATAAGTGAACTCACTCTTCCTTGTATTAATCAAGTTTACAACCTACAGAGTGTACTTGGAAGGTGCCTTGTATATATTTTATCCAGATTATGCACTTTTCAAAGGGTTGAAAAGAAGCATTTGTAAGACATACTATTTGAAACAGTCGTTTTTTTATTATCATAAGTTAGCCAAGATCAAGTTTCTTAAGCCTTAAGTAGTATTTTAGCCTCTTTAAATAAATGTACCATGTTCTCTACATTTCTGTAACGATTGTTGAGTGGAGTTACCTTGGAATAGTGTTTCTAATAGTCAAGTTATTTTTGATTAAAAAGTAGTGGTGTGGTCTTAGGTAGATCTTCTGAAATATCGAAAGTAATATATTTTTTAATTGATGCCTTTCTTATTTTTTCCGTGTAAATAGCGAACCAATCAATGTATTCAATAGTTGGTGTTTGAAGCTGTTTTCAGTTAGCCTTGTTATTGAGCATCTGCTTCACCTCTTAAATCACCGCCAAAAAAAAATTAACTCAATAGGACTTTCGTATATTTTAAAGACATAAAATATGGTAAAATTGAAATTGTAAATATTTGTAGCTGCATGCTTTTGAAACAAATAGTAACTTAAATGCTTTGACTCTTCGATAAAGCAACATGAACTGTGGGTCAAATTCATTACCGGACTGTTTCTAATGATCTTACTTGGATAAAATAAGAAATCCTTCCGTAACAAAAATATTGTGCCAAAAAAGTAATATAAATAAAGACTTTATGATTTATTTTATTCTGGTAAATTATCTCTCATTTTAAATTTTTCAATAGACTTGTAGAAATTCTTCGAAACTTTGCTGGACATGATTGGCAATTAGCTGGATTGGCATGCAAGACACTGTGGAATTACACAGATTTGGTTGATGCTTCCATGGGAGAACTTTTCGATCCCGAGATAATGATTGATTTATCTAATCTCTTGACTGAATTTACTGGTGAGTATAGCTTTCCAGTAAACACATGTTATGCTTTGTAGCACATTTCAGCCTTTGTTTCGAAAGTAGTATTAGATTTTAGAAGATTTATCACTTTATTATTTTGTAAAATGAATAGTTAGTGGAAATGAGGTTTTAAAGAAGAAGGAAATGTTGCAAAATAATAACACAAACAGTTTTTTCCATGGTCCATTGTCAACTGAAACAGCCGTGAACTGAATGGAATCATGAAAAGTATTTATTTCATAATGTACTTTAAACATGTGAAAAGGGATTGCAATCAAAATTCAGGATTAATAGTAGGATGATGAATCGAGGAAATATGGAACACTATATTCGACGCTCCTAGTCGAAATCGACGATAAATTACATGTTCAGGTTGAAAATTTCAGAGTTGTAAAGAAAGGAGGCATCACAAGGGATAGTAAACTAAGGAAGTTGAAAAAAAGTAGATAGTTACGCAAACATATCAATAATTTGGAAACACTAGACCAACAATGGATAAAATTCTGTAACAAAATGAAATATAAAAACAATGTGATGAGAATTACACGCTGCGTAAACGGAAAGATAGGTTATATATAGTTCTGCGAAATAAAATGAACTCATTTTACTTAAAAATATCTTTGTCCTCACTTTACCCAATTTGACACGAAAACTAAATGCATAAAAAGATCTTAGTTTGTTAAGTGATGACTATAAATTGGTTTATCAAAGTTAAAATCATGGATCATTTCGCAGTAAAATGCAAAGTAGAATACAACGCTATTGTTTATTTCTTTTTGAAACGTTCATTACCACAGCTTGACCAACTTTTTAGATAAGCAAGGAATTGAAATGCTGATTATTATCTTCAAGGCATATCAGTGGGTGTTATTTAAAAATTCGAAGGTATTCCCTGTGAAGGTTCCTGGGATTTTATTGATTTCAAGTTGGCATTTATCACGGACTGACATCATGTTGTAGAACCATTGAGAATCTGGGAGCGCTGGACAACTGTTTCGTTCTTGTATGGGACTTCTCAGCAGTGTGCACCCACAACTCCGCTGGGGATTAAACGTCGAACATTCAGGTTCCATGGCGGGCACGTTACCACTGAGCCACTGAGTAGAAATCCAATGGCGTTGGGTAGAAGTCGCACTGTATCGCGAACTGATAGAAGTGGGAAAATGTGGACTCAACTGTAATATGCTCATTGCAGACCTCGAAGGTCCTGCGTCTGATCCACTGGAAAGGTCGTGGGTGCTCACTACTGAAGAGTCCCATACTAGACCAAACCAGTTGCCCAGTGCTTCCAGGTTCCCAGTGGTTCTCTAAAATGGTGTCAATCCGTGATGAATACCAACTTGAAATCTGAAAGATTTTTAGAAGTCATTTTGCAAACTTAAAGCATATGACCATCAGTTAGACTTTTGTCTTCATAGAGAGCATTTTAGTAGTTATTGGCGGCAAATGTTTTTTTTCTCCATTTAGTATATAGTTATCTATCTAATTATACCTACTGTCTAGAGAATCCATTCAACTTCGCGCTGTACATATGTTTTATTTTCATTTTTTAATAATTGTTTGAAATATATTATGATTTTATGTGATAAGAATTATGTTCAAACAAGCCGAGTGCAAAGAAAAAAATTTCATTTATATTTCACACTTATTTTTGGATAGCTTTTAGAAAAGAGTAAATAGCATGGATCATAGTAAGCGTATAGCTATTCACTCAGCATACTTTTTATTTTACAGATGAAAGTGCTGTTGCAAGATTACATCAAGGATTATTATCAGATAATTTAATGATTGAGTCTGATTGCCTATCACTTTGGGAAGCAGCATGGTCTAATGAATTTCTTCCTGTTGCTAGTGACCTACTGCATCGTTTATCAAATCATATGAATACTGACAAACCGAAACAGCTTCGTAAATTCCAAACAAATAGCACCGCTTTGCAATATACGCTGTGAATACAATAAATTACTGTTACTATACTTAGACTGTGTTGATACGATATTATTAAAATAAATCTCAAAAGTATATTATTCATAATACTAGTTCATATTTTATCTGTGTTGAAAATATTCTTTTATTTTAGTGGACGTATTTTGCTCAATCTTCATTTTTCATTTCCATTATTATCGTTATTATTATATGCTGAAATTATTTTACTTTGTAACTATTCTCCATGTTTGAAAAATACTCTTTCAGAGTTTTACTCTTTATATATCTATTCATGTTTACTGAAGAGAATTTACATTCACACCGTATTTATAACTGTTAAGAAGTGAAACAGATTTATCAACTGATGCTTTCTCAATGATAATAAACTGTATGTTCGGTAGTTGATGTATAACAATAGATTAGTGAAATACTATCTGAGGAATATATGTCCACTTAGCGAAAAAACTTTCAACAAAATAGTGTTCTACTCAGTATTCATTGACTTTTAAATAGAATCGAGATTTGATAGTAATGATGGGTGGTGACTAGCAGGGAACGCATTTTGTGTCATATGGGACTCGTCGGATGAACACAGGGCCGGAGTCTTATCCACTAGGCCACTGAGTAATAATAATCACTCATTATGCAACAAGCACAGTCTTGATGCTATTGCTTGTAACTTCCCGTCGAGATGTACACATTCAGGAAGTACAATAATAGTATGAATACTGTTTGTTCTTACATGAATTCAGGGCTCTAAAGTAGCATACTTTACATCTTTTTGAATCCGTCTCCTGTTACTTTTTCAAGTCCTCAACGGTGCACCGGCCAGCAATAGACTCACTTGGGAAGTCGCATCTGCCCTGATGGATCAGTGGCTGATGAAATCTCTGCACTGATGCAAAGGTTCAGACGCCTTTTGCCAACTTACGTCATCTATGGCACCGCTGCGATATCCGATTGTCTATTAAGGGCTAAGTGTACTGTGCTGCAGTCCGCTCTGTTCTACTCTACGGTTGTGAAACATGGCCACTAAAGATAGAAGATATAGGAAGACTTCAGGTGTTTGACCGCCGTTGCCTTCGTAGCATAGGCTGTGTTTCGTGTTGTCACTTTGTGAGTAGTGCAGAAATCAGGCGTAGTTTCAGGAAGGAGAGTTAAGATAGTTGACGCGGTTGTAAATCTTCTTTGGCTGAGATGGCTGGGACATGTGTTACATATGCCTGGCCACCGCCCGCCTCGTCGAACAATGTTTGGAGAATTAGGTTCAGGCTGGAAAATGACTTGCGTAGACCAGACTAAAACGACATCATTGCATGAAGTCCTTGACTGTTCCTTTGAGCCATGTAGGGCGTCGAAGACTAGCCGGTTGGGGTCTGTGAGACAAAAGAAACTAGAGGTTGGATTTTTTAGAATCCGAGTAAACCTTTTCTACAACGGCTTTTGTTTTCCGGTCAGTTACGACCATGGACTGACATCTGTCGGAGAAACATAGGATCACTGGACAGCTGTTCTGACCTAGTATGGGACTCCTCAGCAGTGCTCAACTATGATCTCGTAAGGGATCGAAGCCAGGACTGAGAGAAGCAGGAAATATGGACCATTGGATTTCAATCCAGTAGCCCAAAGGCATGGAAATAGCTGCGGAAGCTGAAGGTCCTGGGTTTGAGCCCTGGCGGGGTCATGGGTTCGGACCAGTGAGGTTCCTAATTCTAGAAAGAAACAGCTAACCAGTGCATCCAGTTTTTCAACGTTTCTCCGACTGATGTCAGTCCATGATAAATAATAACTTGAAGTCAATAAATAAATCCACACAAACCTCCAAACTGAAAATCTTTTGTGTCAAAATGTACCATCAACAATGAGGTATCAATACATTCTCTAGCTACTTATTTGATGGTTAGTAGACCGTCATTTTGCTAAAATTTAAACCGACATCACATCTGTATCTGGAAGACTACTTACCTGTGTAAATACACTATATAGTTACTAATCTATGGATATGCAAATGTTTGAAGCTCATTTCTGTTTGATTTCCCTGACCCGCAATATCTCAGAACTTCTAATAAAGCATACTTTTTCACTAAAAAGTAAAACAGTTAAGGGGGTTTCCTCAGTTTCCGTTTTCAAAAAAAGTAAAACAACACAACATCCGTATATTACACTTCCATTTAATCGTATTTACGGTTAAAATTTCCATCAGATACCGCAGACTTACGGGGGAAAACTTGTGATCTCATATGATTTCGTCTAGCAGTCCATTTCAGGTTCACGCTAAGACCACTTTAGAGACACGGGTAATATTTCTCTGTCTAGATGGGTGGAATCACTGTGAATCATATAGGGTGGTATCAAGCCATAAAATATTCCTTGTTGGCCAAAGATGTTAAACCCAAAATCTTCCAGTCAATCTTCGTAAGTCTTATATTCTTGCTTTTCTTTGGACTCCTACCAAGAAACTGGAAACCCTCTTTAGAAACGCTGGTACAATAATTTTGCAGACCAAATAATAATATCTTAAGCACACAACTTAAAAAATAGCTCTTAGTTAGCAAAACTAAGTGTGTGAGTGTTTCATCACATAGGCGTTTATAATTTCTCTGATATAGTGTGGAATGGGATCCAGGTCTTCTACCAAAATAAGACCTCAGTCACTCCCATTAGATGTATTGAAAAAAAATGAATGTTTCGACGAAAACAGAGCGTTCTGAAATCCAGGAGTAAGAAGAAACATTGTTCGACATTCCCTCAGACTAATTATCACTCTATTATACTCAGCCTATCCCTGAAATGTCCTAAGGTTTTAAGATTCTAGCTTAATTGGAGGTAAATGACTTCAAGCTGAACATCTGGTGTTGTCTGGTGTACACTTTGAACACCATTAGGATTAATTTAGAAGTGATGACCTCAATCTATCCCTTGAGGAAAAGTACACTGGTACTGACTTGACGTTTGCCGTCATTCACCTTCAGTTGGTGCTAGTGTCGAGTACATCAAAGGCGTAGACCTATCTTTTTGTATATATGTGTGACTATGCAATTATTCAGGGGACAGTTAACCTACATCACCATAACTGTCCGAAGACGTTATTTTGTATATCTTCAAGTTAGAGCTTAAGCTATTTTTAGCTGGGGAAAACTCATCCTGACGCTTTCTGGATTACTTTTTCTTACCTATTACCACCCTAATTATGACGTCAGCAGAAAGTAAACAGGTTAGTGTAAAATGTTTCACCGATTCATGGGCGCAGATCAACTTACCATGTGTTACATATACATTGCTCAATCTGTTTATCACAACTAACTGAGATCAAGACTGAAGAGCCTTTTGAGGTGATGAAGACGGTATGTGGTCTTGATTTACAATTTTGACTTCCTATCTCTAATTTCTATTTAAAATATCTGATAAAAAGTCAGTGGTGAAGACAGTTTGGTGTCATCTGAGCTTTTATATTAAAGCTCCCCTAACCATCCTCACCCTGTTCTACACATCTCCAGCATCTCGCAAGTCAGTCTTGTAATCTTTGTTTATCCGGCCAGAGGTAGCAGAAAAGCGTGACCACCAACCTACAGTGGCTAGGGTCAAGGAGTTATTGAGCTAAATGACAAAAGTTTGCACAAGAGACTTGGCTATACATTATTTGCTGAAACAGTCTTTAGATGAATTCAACAAACCAGTGAGTAGATTAACAAGAGAAAATTCAGCGAAGAAAAATTTGTTTTCAAAGAATCGTTTTTCAAATGTTGTATAATCGTAATTATAGTTACAACAAAGTGTATATCCATCCTTAGCTAATGGGTCAGTAACCTCGCAAGGTGATTAGGGCAGCAACAAGCTTGCTACAAACTTATCATATGGTTTTTCTGTAAATAATGTGAAGAGAATCGTCCCGAAGTTTCATTCTGAGATGAGAAAGAATTAGTTCTTCCATACCTACATCAGAGGGTTTCAGCAGCAAGATGTCATTTTATCAAATGTCACTGAGTGATTTCTCTATGTCAGGAATGAGCAAAGATAAACAATAGAAACCTCAAGTTGACGACATGCCAAGCTACTCTGAACATTCAAAATCAAGAGGCATTTTCATATCACATCCGCAACAATGAGTGACATTCATTATTACTCCAACTTTTCATCCAAAGGATGCTTCTTTTTACCTTTCCTGATACGACTAATGACTATTCATTGGTACCGACTGGTTTCTCAAGATCTTTCGACTAGCCGTTAATTCAAAGTGGCTTTTCTTTATCTTCAACCAGAAGGTTAACTTTCTGCTTGTGATCGCAGTTAGTAGTTCAGTCGTTTGCAGCATATAACCGTTCACTTATTGAACCTAGTTGACTGGGATGAATGATGTCCCGAGCAAAATCGACAGTCACGCTTTAGAATTGCTTTGACTGTAGACAAAAAGATTTGTCCGCGATAAGATAGATTCATCTAGTAAATACTTTTAGGAATCACGACGTGATAGAATTTTTGTTTGTGAGATGCCTCACCTACTTTCAGAAAGTTTACTGACATTACAAACTGAAAATTTTAGCACTTCAAGCAATTTTAAGGACTGCTGGCGTCATATCATAGCAGTCAGAGGTGTTTTTGGTTAAATGTTGATAAATCTAAACACTTTGTCTTGAGAAATCATTTCATTCAGTGTTAAATCCAAACAGAAATTGTGCCAATCTTGAGCAACTTGGTAAGTGATCCTGAACTGCACATATTACCATCAAAACAATAAATATTTATAATATCCAAGTATGCAATTGTTAAAATGAGAAATCTAGTTTCATTGGATAGTTCTGCGCAAATTTTAACTAGCAACTACTTGAAATAACGACTGAATATTTCACACACATCAATTACTGTAAATCTTGTCGTTATGAATAAGAAGATGAATTTCATGTTTAATGCAGTTTGATCTCTTCTTAAGTGGTGTTCTGAGAGCATACGTTCTAGATGAGCTAGCTAGTGCATTACTCTCTTCCCCCTTCATACACACATGGTGTAAGCGTGAGATGGAGATAGGAACATTAGGAAACGATCAAAATCATGATTTCGGTAGTATTTAATCGAAAGTTTGCACGAGTGAATGTGTAAATGGCTTATTAGACTGGAGCATCTTTACGAAACCTTTCAGTAGGACTGTGGTAATCAAATAGTATGAAGTTGCAGTAGAATATATTCAGTGCTAATTTGAGGTCAGGCCTACATATTTTTGACTGTTGTAAACTTTGGGAAGTCCCACCAGATATGTAGAGATGGTTCGGTATTATGCCAAATCTAGGTTAATTCCGCTACCTTGGCAGTGAAACCTAAACCGACTAATTACTTTCTTGAAGCTTAATTGCATGAAGCCTAACCAGTTCCGTATGTTGAATCTACAGCACTGATCTCAATGGTGGGTTCGGAGTGGTGGATTATTTGAGTTTTGGAAACGGGGATGCTGACTTTTTTCAATTTTTTCCACCCAAATAAACACTACATTTTTTGACAGGTTAAACCTCTGCTGTGTTGTTTTCGCAATAACCTGAAACCTTACTTAATGGACATGGACAACAATCTTCTATAGGTGAGAGTTACCATGCTGTCAATTACCCGGTGGGTTATTGGATGAGAATAGAAGTAGTCTTACGGCAAAAGTTTCATATGTGCATGGAGTCAACTTTACAGCAACGTTGATATCAATCTACTTCTAAATGTTTGATATCAGTGTCTGTGGCTTCAAAACTTTATTTCTTTATCTATGGAGATTTTCATTGAGACGCTTTGATCAAAGGTAAAGCCAAACACAGACTATATTTGTTTCACACAGAAGGATCTTTTAGTAATAAAATCATCGAAAATCTGAGAAACGATGCAAAACAACGAAAAACACTGGAAAGTGATCAAATTAAAGACCTTAGACGATAAAAACTTACCTAAGGACCTGAAAACTAGCATAAAGTCAGACTTAGACCGCATAACTTTTAGTTACAGTCTACCAGAAAGCACCTGACAAGACTGACAGAACGAAAGCAAAAATTTTCCAAACAGAAAATTTACCTGCCCTTTTAAAGTTCATGCCTTAAATCTTACACCCCATAACCTGGGCAGACAGATGATTTCGGAAATGCTACTGGATATTACTCTTCTTCTTCCAAAAGTGGAGATGGTGGAACACAAGTAACCCAAACTTACCAATCAGAGCAGTTCCACAAACACACTTTTAGAGTGAACGCTATTGAGAAAGATGTAAAGACATCCACTAGTGATAGAGCACAGCTGTGATTGCCATTATTTATGCTTCATGAGAAATCAGATTGCCTACGTATCTCATCACTGAAAACAGAATTTTAAAAACAGTTTAAATCGACTTCTTTAATAGGTTCGCTTATGAAATCCTTTCAACTGTGCCAAGCTGCTGATGGAATGATGAACTGGTATTACTTTCGTTTCGAAGTCAATTTATATACTCAGGTATGTTGCGAGTGTACATAAAAAGGAATCTAACGTTTGAATATATCTTCCAGTCAAGCTTCGATAACTTTGTCTGGAAAATAAGGAACTCATCGGAGAAAATTTTCCTGATCAATTCACTAGCCAAAGCTATACAATCTTCATCAATAATGGGAACAAATAAGTCTTTTATTATTCAGCATTTTTGCGTGAATGCTGTGACGGTCGACAGAAAAATGGAAATATTACTAAAGGGACAAGAAGAAATTACATGTAAGGCCATCATTATTGAGACCATGCATATAAACATGCGGCTTGGTGAATTTCCCGTACCTCCACCATGCCAAGACGGGAAATGTTACTCCCTTTGTACAGTCCGCTTCAATGCTGTAGATAGCTTCTCAGACTTTCTAACCAGCCTTCCGCACACGTGGTATAAAGTCAGGGTTACCATCGGATGGAACGTTCGTTACTGCGAAAGGAAGCCTATAACGCTATGACTGACAAACAGCGGTTCCGCTTCTGACTCATACCATCGCTACTGCGCACCCATTCAGTTTGGGCCAGAATGATCACCTTGTTCTAGTAGTCGCTTCAGAAACTGCCCTGAGAAGAAGCCAAATTGGCCCGATTTCACTGGAACTGGCCAAACGGCAGCAACTTTTTCACTACCGCGGACGACCTTTATCATCAGCCGTGGCAGAAGTGCAGTGTCATATGGGAAGTGGCAACGTGGAAGACATACAGCTAAGATGCTTTCTGTGTCTACTTTGCTACAAATACTGAAATTCCGACAGAAACTTTCTCGTCATCAAACATTACTAACATGGAAGCAAGCCTAGATGGTATCTCTTGGTTTAAGGGAGATAGGTAGCACTGGGAGTGAAGTGGAGAATTAGTCAACTGAAGCAGATAGTAAATGGTCTACTGATACTGTACTGATAGTGTCGAGACTTCTTCTGGTGCCACTTCATATCCAGGGGCAGTGCTTGTTGAGCGATGCTAATCAACCTCCTAACGATGGCGTGGAACAGAAGGAACAACTATCTCATGGAGTGGCAACAGTGTGAATTGCCTGGTGCGATAAGATTACTGTGGTGAGGATCTAAATGCCCCAACTCTCTACGCAAAGCAGGGCAGTGTCCCATCAACCCAGACGTTCGGTCGAAACCAGTAGAGTGTTATGAGGCCATATTGAAAGATGAATGATGTCAATCAGTGAGGGCTGCATCGAAGGCCATAAAGGACCAACTGCCTTCTCACCAGTGGTCGCAAACTGACTGATAACGTATTGGCATACTTTCCTCCGGCAGCAGCGATCACACCATAGCCATTGTTGACTCAGCAGTCAGCATTTGAACTTCATGAAGTAACTTTTTTTGTCCAGGCTACGACAAGTCAAACTACTTGGCAATGGATTGAAGTCTTTCGATAGCTCGATGACCCCAGAAGTGGGATTCACTGTGGAATGACCATCGCCGGCAGCTAGTAATAAGAGATCTCATCAATAGGGTGACCTCTGAAGGCGTCATCTTGATGATATTCGTGAACTGGACCCTGTGGATGAACCAAGGCTCCAAGAAGATCTTGCAAGCCTAGAAGAAGGCACATCGTAAATGGACATCCCGTTTCAAAACGTTCAGGTCATAGCTGACGTGTGGTGACACGAGAAGTGAACTAATAATGACATATGGCTCTGGAGAACCGATGCAGCACTACGGTGCTGAAAAGAAGAAATCGTTCCGGAGAATCACATTCCAGAAACCTTGGGCTTGTCCAGAAAATCAGCAACGATTCATGGCGAGGGGAAAGTCGACTTGCTAGGCAGCCTGCGTTAAGCAAAGCCTTAACTATCAGGGCACCTCTAGACTGGAAATCGTCCAAGCACTAACCCCAAATTTTGACGCACATCTCAGCATCCCGTCACCTAGGCAGGCGAGTCAAGAGCCCCCGCCACCAGTAGAGGGAGATGTCTGGTGAAGTGACATCTAAACGTTCTGTCTGCATTACAGTACCAGGGCGAAGTTTTCCTGATCAATTCACTAGCCAAAGCTATACAATCTTCATCAATAATGGGAACAAATAAGTCTTTTATTATTCAGCATTTTTGCGTGAATGCTGTGACGGTCGACAGAAAAATGGAAATATTACTAAAGGGACAAGAAGAAATTACATGTAAGGCCATCATTATTGAGACCATGCATATAAACATGCGGCTTGGTGAATTTCCCGTACCTCCACCATGCCAAGACGGGAAATGTTACTCCCTTTGTACAGTCCGCTTCAATGCTGTAGATAGCTTCTTAGGCAAACTGCGCTGAAGCTACATATCCAGAATTGACTAAAAGATCAATAATCAAATTATCACTGACACTGATGCATAGTAATCCTCGAGTATACATTCAGAAAGCGTAAAGAATTTTCTCATCAACGATTTTGACAATTGGCTTTCTATGATTTCAGCTTCGGTGTCATCCCTGAAGTCAGACATCCCAATTACAGTCTTCTTCAAAAGTGTATGGATCTGCTACTATGTTGCTTGACTTTTAAGTTCTTCTCAATAAATCTGCATGGATATTTGCAGAAATTCATTCATTTCATCTCCAACCGTGTCATCTTAGCAGGTAACTTTGATTCTTGTTAGTAGTTAATCAATTAGATCCCTCTTTCTGTTCAGTGAAGTTTGGCCGTTAAAGTTAGTTGGCTTTCAGTGGGTTGATCTACGAATTAAACCATCTGGCACTCTTTTTCAACAGAACTTCCTGGAACTTAAATTTAGAATTTTTCCTTGGATCCCAATGTGAAGTTTACGGACAGGTGTAGAGAACGTGATTACCTTTTTATTTACATTTTTAGAAATTAAACTAACATTTCTTCCAAGTAAGACATTCAGCATATTCCTTGTTAAATGTAAGTGTTTGTTTGTCTCATTGTATAAGGTGTATTTTTGCTTGTGTAATCCTGGCGTAGTATATTAGAACAAATAACAAATAAACAAATATTTTGTACTATTCCTCAACGTTTCCATCTTGATAGGAAAATCGTTTTCAAGAGTATGAATCTGACATTTATTAGTTACATACGCTTTCCAATAATATTCTCGGATTTTCTGACGCGCTTAACGTGAAAAATATACGTGCTCGCCACTAAAAAATGTAATTATGTCCTCTACACAGGTGACAAAAGTTCAACATCACAATTATGGATTAATTATTCAAATTTCTGCCACTAACAATAAACATACATCAACAAATTTCTTATGTAGGTGGGAAATGTCAACTGCCCGGTTCAAAACAGTCTTCTCCATACCTGCTATTAAACAATCAGCCAATAAAGAGTCCGGCGATGACAGGTTATCCTTGAATTCAAACTGAAAATTGATATTATATCTCGGAAGCAGTTCCTTTGATAAATGCTTAGATACTGGCAGCGGAAATACTTTCTTCGATGAAGTCACATAAACGACAGACAACATCCTTCAGTTCAACATCGTAAAAATAAAGACCAGACCGTTCAGGTTGTTCGACAATACGCTATACCCATTTCAGTTTTCTTGGTGACCTTGTCCATTTGTTGCTGTTGGTTTCTTTTCGGTGTTTAATAACTTCTAGATTTATAAACACAAAGTGCTACGTAAAATCCTCAGTTTGGTTTGGGAGGGATAGCTCCTTTACAGTTTATGATTTGCCTTTGTAATGAAATGTGGTCTCATCGCAGGCAATGGATCGAAAAACATTTATATTTAAGAGACGTGTGATTACCATTGACGTCACAATCAGTGGCAGATTTCTTTTAATACAGAGGAACTTTACGAAAAAATATAACTTAGGTCATGTATACACACAGAGCGATTGAATCCATAATGAAATAAACATAAGTGCAACGCCTCAAGTTGTGAGACTTTATGATAGCCTATAAAGATAAAATTCGTACCAAAAGGGTGAAATAAAAGTCAACAAGAGTGTAAGTGTGTGGAAACATGAAAAACAGCGAAAGTTAAAATGCTGCACATATAAAAACTTCAAAGAGTGAATGAATGTGCACCATCGTGGCCGATTTTCAAAAATGTCGACGAAAGTATTTAACTATTGATTCTTGTAGCCTGTAGGAATTCATCAAGGTAGTCTACATACTTCTACATGGATAGGGTTAATAATCAGAGACTTCATGAGTAGATTCCGCATCTTTACCTGGTTACCCTGAGCCTTTTTCAACTTAGTATGTTCTACTTTAAACGGCCATTTGTCAGACGCATAGTAGGACAGAGTAGACTTCTTCGTAAACAGATTGATGCTTTGTAGGAAGTTGGACAGTTTGTCAGCGCCAAAGATAGTTTAAACCGGCAAATAACAAACGAGTCTTCTGCATCCACGCTGAAATTCCATCAGTAGCTAAGAGGTTTGAAATAATGCAACTTTCTAAATAGCCCAGGTTGTTGATACGTTCTAACACAGCATTCCCTCCCCTAAAACTATGAGTAGGTGTAGACCACTATCTTATATTAGACAGGTAAAATATTCATGGGAAACACTCGGATTTCTTATCACGACGTTCAGGATACTGCATTTTATCAATGATCCCAACTAACACGACGACAGCGTATCGCTACGACGAGTCAACCGAATGACCAACTTCAGATAATTCAAGCCTGGATAATTTTCTCGAGTTAGTTGTTCTCGAGCTTCCATTGGGCGTCAGATAACTTAGTACTTTAGGATGCCGTATATTATTTTAGTAAAGCTGATTATTTTATGGCTATCACAAGAACACTTCCCCCCCCCCTACTCTACTCAGTATTTTTCTACCTTCTCACTTAACAACTTTGGGCGGAAGACCACCACGTCCTTCTGTTTTGCGTCCTTTCAAGTTTGAAACGGTATTCCCATCTCTGAGGACAACTGAAGGACCGGCCTGCGCTGGATACTGGGTAAATGAAGAGCATCTTTCATCCAGATGAACTTCTCCTCAAAGCGTTTTACACAAAGTTCAAGCTGCCTGTCTTGAGATTTTGTCGAGGGCCT